AGCCACCCGTAGCTTTCTTCCAGCTCATCCCTACATCAGATAACATCGCTCGTTGAGACAGTTGGTGGTTTGGCATACATAACACATGTCCTAACCACCTCAACTGATGAAGTTTCAATACTTCATGCCATCCTCACCTAGTACCTGTTTCCTGACAACAGCAATGCTAAGTCGGTCGTCCCATGATACACGAGCAACGCTTCGCAGGTATCTATGATCAAAAACCAGTAACCTAAAAATATCCTCTACTCTTACTGGCCATAGTTCGCTGCTGTAAAGTAGGATGGAGCGAACTACCGCGCAGTACACTAGTTTTTTGGTTAGCAGACAGATATATCGCCTTCCCCATAAGTGACGTAGGTTGGCAAAAGCCAGTCAAGCCTTATGTATCCATGCTGAGATTTTTTTAGTCACCAGATGTTGTAACGCTTGCTTAGATAATTCCCAGCTAAATCCTATTGGTTAGTATTCTCTGACCACAATACACTGGACAAGTTCCAAAGAATCAAAAACACGGTTGAACAGGAAAAGATTGTATTCCAAATAGCAAGGTTAAATGGAAATAAGAAGCCAAAGGTGATGGCGAAGGCGAAGGCAAAAATAGATACAACGTTAGTTTATTTATATCAGTTACATGAGAAGCTTCTGGATAGAGATTCACGTGATCGAATGGATTAGATTTAACCAATCAGCACGCAGTTAACAATACGAGAATCTTCTACCCTGTTCTCCAAGATTCGATCAGGCGCTGATTGGATAGGAAGTTAGCCAATCAGCGCGCAGCAACGTAGTCATGCTTTAATTGATCTATGTCCCACTAACACCAGACCATTTAGACTGATGAGACCCCCGAGATAAGTGGAGCGGTCAACATGCTCCATTGCTTCCATCCCTATCACCAGTTCAGGTGCCGACGCAACCCAATCTTGAAGCGACATTTTGCATTTCGAGTGGGAAAATCGCATCCCGAACATGCTTGCTTGCATTGTTGCTTATGGTAGTCAGAAGACTCTGCATTTTGTCAGTATTTTCACCAAGTAGAACTATGTCATCAGCATATTCCAAGTCAACAAGCGAATCTCCTGGTAGGTCAACCCGTGAGAAATCAGACGATGAAAATGCCGTCTCAAAAAGCATATCAACGGTTAAGTTAAACAAGAATCGAGAAAGTGGTCAACACTGACGAACGCCCCTTGAAGTAATCATTTCAGATGACAGTCCGCAATTAGCTAGTAGAAAGCATGTGCAAGATTAATATACTTCTTTGGTATAGCTTTCAGTGGCAGGTACTGCCATACAACCTCACGATCAACAGAATTAAACGCCGCTTCAACTTTAAAGAATACAACTATTGTCGGACATCTGAATGCGTGTCTAAGTTATAGGACCTAAGGAAGTGTGAAGTTGTGGTTATACATCCATATCTGAAATCAGCCTGGTTTTTTCGAGTTTGCTCTTCACTAGCTCTAGTTAGTTAGGCATCGAATTACTACTGAAGCTATTATTTTAGGTTAAACTTATCTGTCTGTGATTGACCCCATAAAATTGATTGAATTTCTGTGCTATAAAAAAAGCTAAACTACTGATAAAACAATCAACTATTGAACAAACTAATTGAGAGATTATAAAATTCTGGACCGAGAAATTTTCCTACGGAATAAAGCAATTAGGCCAAACTGCAATCGGCAGACACACCAATAATAATTCCGTTAATCAATCGTATATATTAACTGGTCAACCGTACACAACAAACAATGCGAATGAGAGATAAAGCCTACGAAGACAACTACTCGTAAATATAGTGATTTTAAAAATATAACCCTTACTCCACCTGTAGACCCCTACGGGGCTACTGCCGTCCCCAAGCCCAGATAGAGGAGGAGGGTTAGGCTTAGGGTTAGCGACCCCTTCCGGTAAAAACTAACTCGTTAAGGAAACGCTAACAAGAAAATATAATTTAAACCATTTACACTCTGCTCTAGGAGTTAGGTCTTCATTCAGAAGATTTATGACGTCTCATAATGAAAGCTGAGTTCCTTTGGAAGTCATGAGGCCGACGACTCTTCTGACAACCAGAGCCCTTCCACGCTGTGCGCAGCCGGCAAGTTACATCTGCCTTCATAACCATAAAAGCCAAGCTTTACTAAAAATAAACTCTGACAATCTATACTAACCAGAAAGACAATGAGAGCTTCTGAATCAAACCAACTTGCACAGAAAGTGAAACACGATTTAAACCAGTGTTTTAGTAATTGGCATGGGAAGTTTCTGACATTCTATTATAAACTGTGCAACACCAGAAATGACTACGACATGCATCACTTTTTGTTCATCTCAATTTTATTGAAATTCACACTATTGATTAATTCTATGTTGTGTTTAACGTTACTCATTTTGAGTTAAGAATGGATTGCTTATATATAGACAGGTCATCAAGATTAGAATGGTGAGCACTGGAGGGCCGTTTCGTCCTAATGTGGGACTCATCAAGTGGTAATGCACATCCACCTCTCGTGGGAATCGAACTCCGGGGCCTTCGACCTCGCACGCGGACACAACCTTTAGACCGTTGAGTCGGCATGGGACAGTGTTAATGTCTAGCTTAAATCAACCCAAGGTATTGCGCAATATCATCCGACGTCTCCGGTAGGTAACTGCCTACACCCATGAGGTTATAGAATATTTTGTTTGCTGTTCTATACTTCATTGTTAAATTATGAAAAATATCGGTGTTTCTTCACAAAATAGACGACAGATTTCATTAGTTATGCCATTCAGATACATACTCTGGTTGATTGATGAGCATCATATACATATTTACGACATCTAAATCTGTATTGTCGTTAGCTTGGATTACTGAAGGGACTTAGGCCATAAGCAAACCAAACTATGAGAGGACCAATATGTATACAAAGCAACTGTGTTCTGCTACACACAGCCAAGAAAAACAGATATGAGTACAAACAACTTCCAAATCAATAGTTACTTGTAGAAAACCCTAACCTTCTGAATTCCTCACAATCTCTATCTTTCTCCTTCTAAATTAATCTCACTGAATTATACTTCTCGAATCATATTTTCGCTCCCTAATCTTCTTCATTACTACTAATACTTCTACTAGCTCTACCACTATGGGATTTGAACTCACAATGGCGTACGTACGAGGTTCTGCGTTGTGTCTGTCTGTGGTGGTGGTGTTTGGTTCTCCGAGCTGAATGTTTTGGTTGTGGAGCTTTCATTGTTCTTCTCAACAACATCATCAGTACAAACTTCAGATAGAAGTGAAGCATTCGAATTTCTCCACGTTTGACCTGTAGCTTGTTCTGCTAACCTCAATCTTGATTGGTTGCTGTTGACCTTAAACCTGTCGTTGTTTGCACATTTGTTTTAATTGTATCCCCTTTTTGTTTCTGTTTCTTGATCCTATGTTCGTTTATGATTTTTCTGATTGGTTGATAAATTGAGTCAATGTCGATGCGTTTGTTGATTGCTCATTGACCTGAGTGAGCCAAGATTCTAAAAATTCTCTAGTGTTCTTTGTCCTCCCCCCCTATCCAGTATTTCCACATTGTTCTAATCAAATGCGTGTCCATAATTGTCGGTGAGTATTGATATAAGCGAAGCGTTGTCATGGCGTTTAACTGCTAATTGATGTTCACGTAAACGAAGCTGAAGAGGCCGTCCACTTTGTCGTCCTATGTAGTGTATCAGTCTGTTTGTCTGTAGAAAATCCCAATCGAGCAATATTTAAAGACGGAAAAGTGAATAATGTTGCCCTTATAACTCACTGTCAATCCTAGTATACTTTGAATAAATAATAAAACCATCCTTTATTAGGTCAGGAAAAAAAGCCTCAACGATTATTAAGACAAAAATATCAATTGAAATGTAGATTTTGCCTGACGTATCTCAACAGAATAAAAATTTTACTAAGTAAACAATAAAACTTAAGCAAAAAACACATGAGTCATTCTGACTACTTCTAATAGTGAAAGACCTGTTTCTATAGATTTAAAATTATTTGATCGGATCGTATAAACTTTTTTGATTCATAGAAATACTTTTTATTTGTAACCATGAATCGATCAATGTTAGACCACTATTAGAAACCTGGGAGCACTGCACAACCGTTTCGTCTTGGTATGGGACTCATCAGCAGTGCGCATCCACGACTGCTGCACCCTGCAGGATTCGAACCCAGGACCTTCGGTATCGTGCGCGAACGCCCTAACCGTTAGACCACTGAGACGGTATCTAACGGTGTTAATGTCTAAATTGATCAAATTCACGGAGTTGCGCAACCTCATACCCTACATTCATCCGAACAGGTTTGAACTTCACTGGTCACGACTTCCCACTAGAACTCGGAGAAGATTGATCGGTCGATTAATCATTCATAACATATTGTGAACAAAATTTTAGGGAGTACAATTAATCAGTCATGATTAGAATACAATCTGGTGTGATGTACACTACTGCAACGTGGTCTAGAAATAATATGCAAAGGGGCACCTAAATATTATAGTGCGACATAAGTCAATGTATTTGTATGTAGGCTGGGATGCTGACCAACTCTGCCTGAAGCAAAGCAGATGGTATTTTTTTGGCGAACCACTCCCCGCCTTTCACCTATAAATCTAATAATCCCTACGGAATGGATCCTTCGTACACACACAACAGCCAGGTTGAAGTCCCAGGCGTACATCCAAATTTTGTACTTTCAACTTCGCAAACAACACCCTAGCTGTGAGAAGGCAGTGAGGCATTTCGAGAGGAAGAGTATGCTCTCTTCAATCTCGAACATGCTAAGGCATTGGAGAGGAAGTTGTGACGTCCGCGATAAGGAGAGAACAAACCTTCCTGGATCCGCTACCGATTGAGGTGATCAAGCCCACTGTGGTAGGTCATCACATTGTCTATTATTTTTCTTTTTTACTGCTGCATAGAATGATTTCTCTTTCCATATTTATAACAAGTACTTCATGAAAACAAACCACCAATGATTAGAAGAAGAATGTTTATATTGTTAATAAACAAAGGCAAAGTCACAAAAAAATAAAAGAAAATATATTGATGATCGACTATTTCATTGTAAAAAAGGAAAAATAACTCAGTAATTTTATATCATAATGCTGTCGTCGTATTCACACACACACATACACACAAATGAAATTCTACACGCAGTACAAAAAATGTATATATGTATATATATATAAGAGGATTGATGTGAGAATAAGTAAAAATAGAAAAATCACAGGCATTAAGAAAATTTTGTGATTGATTTCGGTGCATTTCAAAGTAGGATTATTAGTTTTCTTGACTGTTGAGTAGCGTAGTGAGTGAACTCAATTCCAGATTGTCGGTATGTGGTATAGTAGTGATCAGGGGGGGTTGTTTTTTGTTTGTTCGTGAATTTTGCTTACATGTTAACAAGAACAAGATGAATATGATGATGTGTTCGGTTGACTGGATTGAAAGGATACACCTTGTGGTGGTTGTGACAATGAGTTGGCTGACAAGAATTCCGGATCTTGAAGTATCTAAATATTAGGTTGGTTTTTTTCCAAAATATGTATGATATAAATCTTATGTTAAACACAAACTAAAGAAACGTTTTAATGTGACATACAGAATATATATATATATATATATATATATATATATATCTGTAGCAAGTGAAGTTATAATACTTTTGATGATTAAGTCTGATGAAGAAATGTCTAGAAACTAATATAAATCAAGATAACTCTTTCTGTAATTATATATATATATATATATATATATATACATATATATATTCCAAGGCGGTTTGAATGTCCAACAAATCGATATGCCGTTTGGTACACTTTTTACTGATAGAAACTGTTAGGAAACCTATGAACAAACAAACTTGAGTGAAATTTCCAAGTCAAGAAAAACAACTACAACTAGGCGACCACTTATTGAGCTTTGGAACCCACAGATCTGGTTCATAAGGCAGCGTGGGGCAATGTCAGGAGATGCAGTTCCATGGTATTTGCACACCATTTGTTAGGGGATGTAGAAAGGATTTGATTGTGACTAGTTTGGTCTGGTGTGCTATTACGGTTATGACAGCGGATATCACTACCCGGCTGCCCACACCTTAGAAGGTTGTTTGTTTCTTGAGGAACCTGCAAACGAAGTTAGATCAGCATTGGTCTTTGAGACCTGGGAGCGTGACCACAGAGCCAAGGGGACAACTGGTTGAGGCCCGTCCACCGGAGACGGAAATCTGTGAGGTAGGGTGAGGTGTGACATTTGTAGGGTCAACCTTTTCTAACATCTTTCTTCCTTGTGAGAAGGCAACATCAATGCAGATGCTGGTTGTCCGAGGGAAACAACTTACTGCTGTCACACCCCTCTACAGTCAGTCAACAGTACGTCTTCACCCTCAGACCTTGAGTAGCTGATTTTAGTCTCATCGTTCTCCAATTGACCTGCCTGGCATAGTAGAACCTACGGGAACATATGTTCCAGCCAATATAGCTCGTTTGGGTCATCACAATAGACAAGCCCGATCACCGAGTCAACGTAGCAGCTAAGGTTGGGGATAGGATAAATCACGAAACAAACAAACATTTAATACGATAATTGTTAATTACACTGAATAATCATACTCGTCTCAATTATGCATATATATATATATATATATATATATATATAAACACACTAATGAGTGTAAAAATAAGACATACTTTACGAACAAGTTCTTCAAAAGCATGACGAACATTTTCACTTGTTTTTGCACTGGTTTCAACAAAAAGTGAACCTAATTTTCGAGCTAAATTTGAACCTTCTTTTTTTGAAACTATACGATCATTCTGTAGATTAGATTATCTCTAAATAAAATTCCAATCTAACTAACCAAGTCAATTTTATTTCCAACAAGCATTTTTAATAGTCGACTACCACAGAATTGTTCTGTTTGTTCTGCCCAATATTCTATTCCAGAAAGACTTTGTACAGAAGTAACATCGTATACTACAAATGATACAGGAGAATAAATTTATAGATATACTTTTACCATAAAGAGCTCCATGAGCATGACGATAGAAAGAAGGAGTTAAATAACCACTGTAACGTTCAGCACCGGCTGTATCCTAATGAAACATGAAAATAAATAGTCTTGTAATGTCTATGGTACGGTATTTACCCATATATTTAACTGAATTGTTTTGCCATCTACAATTGTTTGATAAGGTTTAAAATCGAAACCGATTGTCGCCACTTCATTCTGTATAAATCGGTCATCAACAAATCGACGAATTAAGCTATACGTAAGAAAGTAATTAGCGAAAGCTAAATGTCATATATGAAAAAATACATACCTAGTCTTTCCTACACCTGAATCACCTAACAGAATTATTTTAATTCTTATCGATTCTTCATCAGCCATGGTTTAAATATCTATAAAAGTACAAAAAAAAGTTAACAGTGATAGTACTGTAAATAATATTAGCCGTACTGGAATTCACTTACACAAAATGCAATATGTTAGTTGCGAAAGACTTTCATCAACTTTTAAGGAACACTACATTAGCTCATATCAGTAAATAAAAAAACCTAAATAGTTACAATCTATTTGTTCTGTTTACACACGAAAGTTGTTTTTCTGTTAAGTAAAATAGAGCTGAATGTTGCGTAGTGTAGTCAGTATTTCGATACGCTGGTGGATTATTTAGGTTCGATTTTAGAATAATATAATTTGAGATAGTAAAACTAGTCTGTCGTACTGGTGTGGAGATTCTGTCACAAATTCAACAAAGTATGAGTTTATGAATAAACCTGTTGAATCACTGTACTTTTTAGTATCCTAATAACCTATGGCACTTGCCAAGCTACTGGTAACTTTTGCAGTTAGCATAGTTGACAAACATGTCACTTTATCACTAAATTTATTTGAAAGGTAACATTTTGTGAAAATTTCACTTCATCTCTGTTATTATTTGTTATAATAAATAAAAATTTTGAGATTTTGTCTATTGACAGACAGACAGATTCAACGCAGAACTTCGTACGTAAGTACATCAGTTCAGGTTGCCATGCCACGTAAGCACAGAGACGCAACCCTCAGTTCAAATTCAAGAGTGATAGCAATAATAGAAGTATTAGCAGTAATGCAGAAGATTAGGGAGCGAAGATTTGATTCGAGAAGTATAATTCACTAAGATAAATTTAGAAGGGGAAAAGTAGAGATTATAAGGAATGAAGAAGCTTATTTCATGGAACACAAAGAGTGGATGCACCTGCGGCATTGAAAACGATTTTGAGCCATGTCGTTCAAGGTCTCTAACCATTGGTGACTTTCGTGTCGCGGACCCCAAACAGGTAGCCTACATCTACCAACATGACTCAGTCCACTTGTCGTCAGTGACTTCATGGACTTCTGCCATGTTTTGGCTTGACCGCCACTAGCTTTCTTCCAATCTACTCCTACACTGCAAAACATAGCTCGTCGCGGCATTGTTTTTCTATTGACCATCTGAATTAATTTGAGTAGAATGGAATTATAAGAACTATTTATACATCTGGACTAGTAATGCAAAAAAGCACAAAGTGGAATGAATGTCCAAAGAGTAAGTAACTCATTAATAATCAACAAAATACATTCGCTTTATACAGATTAACTGATGAACTTTTATACAAAACAACCTATACATAATAAGTATGTCTAAAACTTATTTAAAGCATGAATGAGTAGGTTATTCACGAAATTACGGTTTGATCACTTGGGGTTGGTGTCCATCAAATTATTCATCAAATAGAACTGTTTTGTCAACTCATGAAAAGTTGACGAATCTTTAAACATGGTGATAAGCCAGGGGATATTGATCTCAAAAGCGAATGCCCTTAATTTCAAAGTAAATTCTTGTATGGCAGCGAGAAGTAAAACCTGCATACCTACACTTAAACCAGATCGTATATACATTACAACTCATAAGAATTAAAATATGTATTCCCGTATAATATAACTGAGCTCTAGTTAACCCTTTGATCCATCACATATCTCTCTCTACTCAATTTTTCATAGATGAATGTTACTGACCCACGGCTTTACTGATGTAATAAATGGACAATTGCATCATTCCACGTTTGAGTGAAGCCATATGTTGATTACGCACTTATATACCTTTATAGCTTCAAACACAGTTTGCTACCCTCCTACTTTTAATAACATCTTATTACGGTGCTAATTCTTTATTTCCGTCTAATGTGAACGATATTTGGCTATGGCTAACTAGATACTAATAGAGAGTACTAAAAGTAATTATAAGATAGCTTTGTACTATGTCTAAGATTAAACGAACCAAATGCATAAATGTAGTTTTCTCGCTTAGTGTTTTGTAAATTGTATGATATTGGTTAACTTAGGTTACAAAACCACAGAGATTACAATTGATGTCATTTGTGCTTCTTGTTGATATAGCTATGAGGTGATAACCTTTAAGATGTAGTAGAGAACACCACGATTTTTTACCGTATCTTTAGCTTATTCATCCTAAAATGTACCACATACTCATGCAGACCTAACTAGATCAGAAGACAACTTCTTTAGGCAAGTATATGGCCATGCACTAACTGAGTAACTGCGTAAAGTTGTTTGGAAACAAACTTTATCGGTGTATTAGTCCTTGAATACACTCACCAATAATTAAGCGTTCCTACTATTGTCAACGGTTTTAAATTTTAGCATACTATTTTCCCTTTATCTGCTCGATACGCTGTTTTAGATTGCAACTACTTACTACATAACATAGTGATCTGTTTTGGGCAAACATAATGGACTATTAGATTCTTATGCGTATAAAAAGGATTTAGTCAGACAGTCAGTTGAAACGTAGAACTTCGTACGTATGTACATAAGTTCATGTTGCCATACCACCAAATTAGCACAGAGACGCAAATGTCAAATCAAATCACATAGTGATAGAGATAGTAGAGATGTTAATGGTAATGAAGAAGACTAGGGTTTGAAGATATTTACATTCAAGAAGTATAATTCAGTGAAATAAGGTTAGAAAGACAAAGGTAGAGAAGTTGACATAATCAGAAGATTAGGATTTGAGAGAGCTCAAAGAATGGATGCACTTGCGCCATTGCAAACGATTCTGAGCCATGTCGTTCAAAGTCTCTAACCATTGGTGACTTTCGTGTCGCGGACCCCAAACAGGTAGCCTACATCTACCAACATGACTCAGTCCACAAAAAGGATTCAGACTGTCGTTTACCCTTGCTTTTAAACATTTAATATTCCAACAATGAAAACTAATGTAGGACTGCTTCATTCAACTAAAGAAGCATATGAAAAGGAATAGAATATGGATGATTAAGTTATTGAAGACAATTTCAGGAGAAAACAAGTTTTTCAGTAAGAAGTGACATTAGTTATAATACAGAAAGACTAGAGTTAAGTATTTGGTCTTGGGCTACGGTTGAGTTAGGAATGGTCATAGTACTCATCACTAACTGTTATCAATTATAACATAGTAGTGATCTTTCATCGACCTGTTGATGAACTTGTGAAAATTAAGGCTAAGATTTAGAGTTAGGAATTAGAAAGGGAGAATAATTTTCAGCATTACAGACATAATTACATTGTAAATACATATGTATTGAATTATATCATGTAGTTCCATGAATAATGTGTTTCGGGAGAATGTGCTCTGTATGATTAAGCATCATGTCATTTTTTTAATGTGGTCAGATACAAAGCATTTTCTAAAATTACGTATTTTAAGAATAATATATGGCTCCAGACAGTGTTCACGGATATATATTATCTATCGCTGAAAAATGAGTTCCAAGAAAATAGAAAGAGACTTTTAGCACTGACTGATTTGCTTAAGGCTATCAGTATCATACGATCTTACTCTTGTCAAGTTTTCGAATTATTTTGAAATTACCAACAAATAATGCTCTAGGAATAATGACGTTAAAGTTTTTAGCATGCCTTACTAAGCATTATTTAGTGCTAAATTCTCAGAAGTCAAAAGTCAATCAAAATAAATATCACAAACTAGAACAGTAATGTACCGGAAGTTCTTGAACGCACCGCGTTCACTTTCCAATATCTTTCACATTTTTGCGTGTTTCTAGCTAGTTTGGTACTTGTATTTTGCTTTTGTGGTATATATACCAGTCTTTTGTAATGTTTGACGAAATGCGTGTGACTATCTGACTGAACTACTAATCATAAATTAGATAATGATTTAGTTGATAGACCTTGAGTAAAAACAGCAAAGCCATCAGACAAACCAAGAGTTGCAATCCAAAAGAACCAAGCAGCGAATCTGTCGACATACTGAAGCCGCGGGTTTATTCACTTCAGAAAGATGTAATAGAAATACCTAACCGAAAAACTGGAAACATATTCAGTATGCCGAGATGTGCGTGATCTAAACCGGTTAGTCGTGGTGATGGTTGCTTAACTCAGCGTTCTCAGTAGTGCGAATGCGTTTTCAAGCACCTTCGGCCAGGGTGTATCCGACGAAACTAATGAGGTCAGGATCAATAACAAAAACTTATAGAACCATTCATTTTTGGGAGAACGTGAGAGCCTACGTTGCCCACTATCCCCAGTCATCCCGAATGGCAAATCGATTTAAGTCATCCTAGTTTTTATAAAGTTTAGAAAGCTATAGAAAATCTAGGGCGAGGTTGAGCAGAAGGTCTTGATGTGCTTACTCCTGAGATTTTTAAGGATGGTTGTCCTGTATTAACAGTTAGATTGACCGAGATCATAGGTAGAATCTGGGAACTGGAAGTAATCCCATCTACCAGGTCTCAGTCGCTGATTGTCCCAATTTAAAAGAAAGGACAAAATTCCTCTTGTGACAATCACAGGGGAATAAGTCTAACTAATATATGATCGAAAATATTAGCCTCAATAATATTCCGGCGCTTAACAAATGCACTTGAAGAGCAGATTCGAGAAAACCAGTCTGGTTTCAGACTTGAACTTGGCTGTATTGACCACATTTTTACACTACGACAGGTCCTGGAACACAGACACATTTTGGCGTCCGATAATAGTCGTCTCCGTGCACCTTAAAGTGGCATATAACTCTGTGGATTGTGAAGTATTGTGGTAGTGTCTATCATTGAAAGGTGTACCAAAGAAGTACATTAACCTCATACAAGCTCTCTACTCGACGTCCACTCTCCCCATTCTTGTTTAACTTTGTCTTAGATATGCTTCTAGATTTATCATTATCCTCGTCAGGGGTAAACCTTCTACCAGGAGGATCACTTACTGATCTAGAATATGCTGATAACATAGTTCTATTCTTTGAAGACACTGACAATATGCAGAGTCTTCTGACCACCCTAAGCAAAAATGCAAGCATGTTCGGGATGCGGTTCTCACCCTCGAAATGCAAAATGTTGCTTCAGGACTGGTTTGCACTGGCACCTAAATTAGTGATAGGCAGTGAAGTAGTCGAACGTGTAGGCCGCTTCACTTAGGATTCTAATCAACGCTGGTGGCCTGGTGACTGATGAAATCTCAGCACGAATACAGGAGGCTCGACTGGCTTTTGCCAACTTGCGTCATTTACGGCGTAGGCAAGATATCCTTTTGCTAACCAAAGGACGGGTGTACATCGCAGAAGTTCGCTCCGTTCACCTATATGGATGCGAAACGTAGTCGGTAAGAGTTGAGGATATTCGTATTTGATAATAGATGTCTTAGAAGCATTACTCTTGTATCCTGGGACAATCGAGTAAGCATTGCTGCCATTAAGAAACCAGTCTAGGTAAAATGGCTGGTCAGTAAATGAAGTACTGAAACTTCATCAGTTGAGCTGGTTGGGATATGCGTTACGAATGCCCAACCAACGACTGCTTCATGGAGCTGTGTTTTGTAGTGTAGGAGTAGGTTGGAAGAAAGCTAGTGGAGGCCAGACCGAAATATGGCTCAAATCCATGAAGTCACTAACAAGTGGAATACGTCATGCCGGTAGATGTAGGCTACCTGGATGGGGTCCGCCGGATGATAGTAACCGATGTCTCAAAACCGGTTACAGTGGCACAGGTACATTCACTCTTTATGTTCTCTCTAATCATTGTATTCGTCATCACCACTACCTTTCTCTTTCCAAATTCATCTCACTGAATTATACTTCTCTTATCATATCTTCGGACCCTTATCTTCTCCATTAGCAGTAATTCTTCCACTATCTTTACCACAATGGGATTTGAATTGACGATTGCGTCTCTGTGATAATGTGGTATGGCAACCTGAACTGATGTACTTACACACAAAATTCTACGTTTCAGCTGACTCACCAACTGGCCGAACATGAGAGTACTACAGTGGTAGTACACTATTGTATGTAGCAAGAGAGGATTCAACAGAATGTTTCCCAACCTAATGACGGATTTAGCAGATGCCTAACGTCGACAATAATGGGCTGGATTTCATAAAGATCAATCATATACTGACAGAATCGAAACAACACTAATGATTGTTAAACAATCAGCTGAAAAGTACTCATCACTATCACTATGACGATCATATCTCAGGGGTAACAGGGAATATAGCGAACAGGTTGAATGCAGCTTTACAAATCTTGCTCCGTAGATGGCCTAGGTCTTCTGTCCTACACACAGCAAAAATGCTGATGAAGATAGCCAGTGTAGAGCAGACATCGAAAGAAAAGATTGAACTTGGGAACGCCCAAAAATGGGGGTAAAATAATAGAGCCAATTTGAGGTTTATGACTGGCGGTTTAAGTTTTACAGGTAGGAAACGGTGCCAGTTGGTGTGTCAGTATACCTTAGGTTTCATTTCATTCATTTTCTGTACGGGAGTACAATAGCTTTATATGGGAGCTATCAAGTGACCAAACAGGAGAGCAAAAACAATGGTCATGGGAATAATAATCATAGTAGATAAGCTTCGTGACTTGCATCAAGCAGTACAAATAACTGCAGTAATATCTCTTCCCGTCAGCGGTCGAAATTAAACGCTACTCCGGCCGAAAGGTGGCAAGTCTTGAATGTATGTGTGATCGAGTGGACTTTTAAAGCTACTCAGTTAGTAAGTAGTGGTTGAGTATAAACTGGATTTTCAGAGTCTGTATCACCTGTCAGGTAGGGAATACCCAAATTCAAGTAAAATCAGAGTTCAGGAATGAAGAAGATTAATGTTATATTTGAAGGATCATTAAGATATTGAGCAGTGATTCAATAAAGCTTGCTAACTAATGCAAGGAGATGAGTCACTTGACGTATCCTGCGGTGGTCTGACATGGATGCATGTCAAAGCGCCTTCAGCTACGGTCTCCGTACCAAAAGTAATGGGGTTAACGTTAATGTAAAAGAATTCACAAAACTACTTGTTTTGGGGATTTATTCACCAGTAAAGCTTAGCATTCCACTCGGGAGCGGCGAGTGATCTCCCAAAAAAGTGGCCAACTAGTAGTTCAAACCCAACGTGCTTGACTTCGGTAAACGCTCTTCTGATACTTTGCTACATCCAGTGATGTCTGGTTGAATTTTCTTACATGTGACATATAATAATGATATATATTGAAAATATTCAATGGAAAATAAATTTTTTGTGTTCGTCTTTTGCTACGTATCTTTTCCGGTAGTCATGGAAAAGGATGTAGACGAATGCCGGCAATATTCACTTAGTTATTTCAGCAAGCAAAATGTTCAGAAACACTTGCTATATATGAACAAACAACGTGCGACATGAAGAGAAACGACAGGCAAATGTCCTTTGGATGTTTTTAAAAACTTTTACACATGAACGTATATATACTGAACTTGCTTTATAATTACGAATATACATAAGTGTATAGATACACTGTATTGTAGTCTTGAGGATCGTATCGTCCATCTGTGTGTTGAGAAAATGGACAGAGAATAGGTTTTTTACTAAGAAGGCGGTTGTCAGCAGGTCGATGCTTATATGTTCTTGAGTTCCGCTCTTATATATGTTCCCAAAGTAATTATTAGAGAATTCACGTTGGTTAATAAGCATGATCAGTATGAAATAGATTCTAATTTTTAGTGTAGAGAATAGATGTGACATGCTGCATTTTTTGAGGTACTCCTCTTCAAAAGTTGTTGGTTGAGTCATTTTCCACGTGTATTACAGTATTGAAAGATATCAGTCAGGAAATATGAATACTTTTTAGATGGATATGCTTTTATTGTATGGGTATCCAGTGCTAAAATTAGACTGATTACAATCATCTAAAACTGAAGAAAATAAAACGGAGACAGAGCAAAAAACAATGAAAGCTATAATCACAACGACAGGTTAGACCGGTTTATCAGGTCTACCATGATTCAGGCAAAGATTTATTTCATGACATAACCTGCAGGTTAGATATTGTTCAAATTAGTTAGATCTCCAGAAGTGTAGGTTTTAAGTATCTTCAACCAAGTAGGTAATTAGTAGACTGAATAATGATCATTCAGAGTTCTGATCTAACTTTAGGATTAGGATATACTTACAACTATGGGCACATTTGAGGCATTTTCTTTTTAGAAGTAAGCACTGACACTGCAAACAAAGAATGGACTTGATTTTATTTTACAGATGAATCTCAGCAAACTACCCCAGAATCTCAATAATCTACTGGTAAAACAGTTTATACAGATACAAGATTTAGAATGATGTTATATCCCTAATGACAAATAGTTATTGGAGCTGAAGCTGGAGGTTTCTGTGTTTTGAACTACTTCAATGAATGTTATAGATAGTTTGTTAAGTATTTTGAAACAAAAGGTTCAAAAAAATTTCAAAACGACGCTAAATGGATCCCAATCTTGAGCTAAAACTACTGAGAATGAACGTGTAATATTCTAAGATTGGTCCAATCGATTGTTAAATGTCTGATTCATGTTTAGGAGTGTAAGTTAGACACCAGTTTATGAAATCAATAACCATCCGCTGTTGTCAAGAGTGGTGATTAAATACTGATTGACCAAACCGTCATTGAATTTATGAAATTCACTCCATTGAAATCGTGAACCTATCACTATTAGGACGAGGTTAGAAACCTGAAAGCACTGGATAGAAGATCATTCCTGGTATTTAATTCAATAACAATGAGCGTCGAAGACGCCCGGATGCGGGACACAAACCTAGGACCTTCAGTCTCTCATGCGAACCCTTGACCTCTAGACCGTGGTGGAGTCAAGTCCATTGGGCTGAATGTTTTGGTTGTGGAGCTTTCATTGTTCTTCTGAACGAAATCATCAGCACGCAGGTCAATCAGCAGTCAGCAAACACAACCGCAGTGACTCAATTTATCAACCAATCAGAAAAATCATAGGCAAAATTGGGACCAAGAAACAGATCAAGGGTGTACAAACAAAACAAAGGTGCAAACAACGATAGGTTTAAGGTCAATAATAACCAATCAAGGTCGAGGTTAACAGAACAAGTTGCGGATCAGATGTGGAGAGATCCGAATACTTCGATTCTTCTATCTGAAGCTTTTGCTGATGATGTTGTTCATAAGAACGTTGAACGCTTCAAAACCAAAACATCCAGCCCATAGATCGAAACTCCACTACAACCATCCATGTGAACTACAAATTTTCTCCACTATCTCATAACATTTCGACCACTGATACGGCATCCAACTTCTCCGATTTCTAGCCTCGATCAGTCCACAATATCGCACGACCTCGTCCACTGTCATCTTGATGTAAATCCCTCACATTGGACACAGTCAAACTTCACAAGTCATGGCTTCTCACTGAAATTTTCTCATGATACTTCGTGTTCTGTTTTCTGTTATATCATTCTTGCCTGTTTTGTCGAGTGATGTTTTCCCCTAATTACTTCACAATCACTTATTCATTACTGAGTTCTCCATTCTTCTAAATATCATCTTCAATACTTCAGTGCGACCAACCGATTATCTACCACAAAACCATACTTGTTAGTAGAGTATCAGCTTCTGCTAACTCTTCAGGTGAATTAATATCATAAAATCGTTCCAGGTGACAAGGATAAATGACTACCTGCTAACCCCCTGTATATTCCTCTAAAACTGAAGGTTTTGTTCAGGCAGTATAAAACACAAGGTCAGACCACACCAAGTTTCGTTCAAACCAGGAATGGCGGGTGTTGTTCTTGAGACCTTAAATGTTTGGAAGCTCGCATCTTTTGGATGCCTTATGCTAGCTGTCCAGATTTGCTTTTTCCTTATTGGTGGACTTATAGCCCCAGCTCCTAACACAACAGACCAGATCTTGATGTCCAAATGTATTGACCGTTCGGGGGATGTTTTAAAGTGGCATTTCGCTAGACCAGCCTCTAATGACAGCTGTCAAGAAATCTTACCGGATGGTGATATTGAAGAAGTTGTCCCACCTGATGTCGATGCAAATTCGATCGTATTTATTGCACAATTTCCACACCCAAGAGATGGAATGGATTTGCGTATGACCCGATGGTTCCAACAAGTCATTGGAGTTTTGATGCTAGATATCAAGCAAAAATATTCTAAAGAAGTAGGTTAAAGTTTACATTCGTTTATATGTAAAATGTCAAGCTTAGGTAATACTGGTAGTCCAGAATATATAAATATATATATTGTTGATAATAAAATCTAAACTTTTGGTGAATGTCTATTTTGTTTCTAAGTATGTCGTGTATCATCTCGTTTCTCATGTCGATAATACACTGAATTTCCCTTGTATCTTTTTATAACTGATATTTAGTACTTAGCAGGTACTGTTTTGTATAGTTTACAGGGGTATGTATATCATCCAAATGATTCCCTGAATTCATGTTTTTTATGATTAATCATCCGCTTGTACTAGTAAAAACTTTACTTATATGTGAAATCAGAATCAGAATTTTCACCTGCATTAATTATGTGATAGGTTCATTTATAATCCCTGTTAATATCTTTTTTGTTCATGGGGATTTGTAGCTCTGTTAATGGTATCATTTGATAGGACAATGAAAGCTCTACAGCTGAATAGTTAAACAGTAAGAATACAGTGTGTTAAATATAAATGAAATTTAATTGTCTACATCCCATAAATCTTTTTTTACTACGAAAGAGAAAAATCACAGGGAATTTCATCTTTCGAAGTACAGTACAAGTCATAAAGTCGTCTTTTTGACGATACAAGTCTCTTTGTGAGTAATAATTCAGTTCATAACAAGATTGTTGTAGTTATTTTCCTAGTTTAAGTGTTTAGCGAGACGTTTTCGTAACAGCAAATTCATTCAGCTCGTATATCAGTTAGTACTATTTATTGTATAGCACGAAGTGATTGTTTCATCATTTTGGTATACATTTTAGTTAGAAAATACCGAAATAACATTTGATTTACGATTGGGTTATCGCAATCATAATGATCCTAAACATGTTTGGCATGAATTAGCTCGTTCAGTTGAAGTTCGACCTCTAAAATGTACACTTGATCCTGAAGCTAAACGACATCAAGGACATTCTCATGCACTTGATGAAGGATTTTACTATGATTGTGAAGTTTTGCCTCTGTTCACCTTGGCTAGTTGTCATCATGAAGAGTATTTGTTGAATTTAAGAATTCCTGTTGATAAGAAGCGGAAAATCAATGTTGGTGTTGGAAGTATTCAGGATGTTTGGATGGTTGAAATTCACCAAAATGGAGGATTTACCAAGGTAAGTAAATTGTTGTGTGGTTAGTGTTTATCAATTTGCTTATAACATTTTCACCACATTGTAAGTGACTAACTGACTGTCGTTTTTGTTATCATCTTGGAATGAATTAATCAGATTTTTTGAATTCGGTTCGGCTTTCTTGTCGCTAACACGACATTAAAATTCTCCAAGTTGGCATACAATTTTCAGAAGATGGGTATTGTATCGTAATTTTACATTGTGTATATATCACCAACGTAATCTAGTACATACGTTTGTTGGCCCAATGTGCCACTCCTGTTTCATTATGCGCGATTCACAGCAGTTACATAGGTCCTCTCAGGGTTACTGAGCTTATGGCAGCCTTTAAAATCGGATTATTATCTTGAACACGATCTTCTAACTCTGTTACTGTACCTATGCCCGACCGAAGCTGCTACCTTGACGTGGTGGTCGGGCTTGCCTATCGTGATGACCCAACCGAGCTATACTGGCTGGAACATATGTTCCTGCAGGTCCTACCATCCCAGGCTGGTCGATTGGAGAACGATGAGACTAAAAGCAGCTACCCAAGGTGTGAGGTCGAAGTCGTACTGCTGACTGCAGAGCGGTGTGACAGCAGTAAGGTGTTTCCCTCGGACAACCAGAATCTGCGGCGATGCTGCCTTCTCACAAGGAAGGAAGGGTTAGAAAAGGTCGGCCCTAAAAATGTCACACCTCCCCTAACTCACGGATTTCCGTCTCCCTGGGTAAGGGTGCCCATTGAGGGCCTTTAAGAACGGAGCTAATCTTCAAAAAATGTTTCATAAAAAGGCCGTGCGTGACCGGCCTCAAGCAGTTGTCCCTTGGGCTCTGCGGTCACGCACCCAGGTCTCCGAGACCAACACTAATCTATCTTCCTTTTCAGGTCCCTCAAGAAACAACCTTCCTTGGTGTCGGCAGTCGGGAGGTCACATCCTCTCTCATACCCACTATAGCACATGAGACCAAATTGGTCACAATCAAATCTGACCAAGTCTGATAGTAGCTGTCTTCTCGATCGACTGATTAATATTTGTTAACGTTTTTTATGCGGAAATCTGATAGAATCATGTCCAGTCTGGCGACAAAAAATCGTTGTTTGCAGCTGAGACTTTTGTTGGTAATTTAATATAACAGACGGAGAGCTTGAGATGATCAAACCAGATAGGTTATATATACTTATTGTATGTAATGGCGTTTGGTAGACAACGTGTATCTCTAAATTGCTATGACTTTCCAATTGGACTATAGTGGCATTATTCTACTGCAGATTTATCAATACCCACCAGAATCAATATTGTAATTAAGTATGAATAATAACTAGTCAGTTATGATAAATATCACTTCAGTCAGTCAGTCAGATGCAACGTAGAACTTCGCACGTAAGTACATCAAGTTGCCATACCACATCAGCACAGAGATATAATTGTCGATTCAAATCCAATAGTAGAAGAGGTAGTAAACGTATTAGAATTAATCGGAGAGGTTAGGATTAGAAGATATTATTCAAGAAGTATGATTCAGTGAGAAAAGTTTAGAAAGTCAAAACTAGAGGTGTTGAAGAATCCAGAAGATTAGCATTTGAGAGAACATAAAGAATAAATGCACCGGCGCCATTGAAAATGGTTTTAAGCCATGTGATTCGTCTCGCGGACCCCAACCAGGTAGTCGACAACTACCGACATGACTCAGTCCACTTGTCAATGACTTCATGGATTTGTGCCATGTTTTGGTTTGGCCGCCCCTAACTTTATTCCAACCTATTCCTACACTACAAAACAAAGCTAAGCTCTTCGAGGCAGTCGGTGGTTAGGCATACGCAGCACATGTCCCAACCACCTCAACTGATGAAGTTTCATTACTTCATCTATTGATCTGGCGTTCTTACCTAGCACCCGATTCCTAATAACAACGTTGCTCACTCGGGTGTGCCAGAATATACGAGCGCAATGCTTCGAAGACACCTATGATCGAAAACCAGTAACTTACAAATATCACTTCCCTGTAAGAAAAAAAAGCACGCTGTTCATCAACAACTTAATGTACATTGCAATAAACGCTACTTACTAATTTCTATATTAAACAATTACTGATAACTTTTTGCAGTCCATAAAATACACAATCATTATACTAAAACGGTTAAAACTATTCCTTATGAATTTAAACATCAACTCAACACCTCATCAACCGTACACAATACGGATATCGATCGAGTTGAGAAATGTTATCATGTGCATAGATTTATCATTATTGTCGGGCAGAGGTTTTTTGAGGTTTGTGTTTTTACACATTTGAAATCATCAATCAGTCATTGTTAGACCACCATTAGAAACCTGGAAGCACTGGAAAGCCATTTCGTCCTGGTATGAGACTGATCAGCAGTGCGCATCCACGACTCCTTCACCTCACAGGATTCGAACCCAGGACCTTCGGCCTTACGCGCGAACGCCTAACCTCTGGACCACCGGGCCGGTATCTAACGGTGTTAATGTCTAACTTCGATCAATACACCGTCTTGCGTAACCTCAGTCCCATACCAGGATGAAACGGCCGTCCAGTGCTTCCAGGTTTGTAATGGTAGTCTAACAGTGATCGATTCATAATTTCATAGGTCTCCAAAAATGCTCTGAGTTAAATAAATTCAACTATGTTGTTAGGGTTAGGTAACACAATCGCACTATATACACATCACGGATTGATCTTATTACTTGAAAAATATTCCGTCCTAGTGTGAGGCTTCTTCTCAACAGTACACATCCACGACACACTACCAAGGATCGAAACCAGGTAATCCAGGTTGATGAGATATACCTACATTTTCCTATTTATTTTAAACTGTAGTTTGTATTAATCACAGAGATGCCTAAGTTGGGGATACTGTTGAAAAAAGTATGCAGTACTGGAAATATGTTTCATCGTAGTTTAGGACTTCGTGATAGCGTGCTGATCCACAACTCTACCAGGAAATTGAACCTAGATCGTTCATGCCTTGTTGAGAAAGCTTAACCATTAGAACTGTTGAGTTAGTGTTAGGATATTCATCCAATATCCTAAGATAATTGTTTGTAAGTCTAATTCTATTGGTCAGTTCCTACTGGTCATCCGGACTATCAATGTCACTTCAAATCTTGTTTCCTATTGGTCGTCCCAACTGTCAATATTCGACCTGACTGTATAAATACACATTATCTGTAACGTTTTATGACCCGGACCCGGATCCCTAGTTCAGGATGCTGATTGCCTGATGGTGTCTGGCCAATGAATCCGAAGTATTTTGCATAGACAACTGTTAATAAACACTGATATCTTCTGGATGATGGCTTTCGTAGTTCTCCATGTTTCCGCTCCATACAGTAGAACATTATCTTGACATTTGTATTGAAAATCCTGATTTTGGTTATGGTTGAAAGTTGTTTGGGCGTTCCAGATATTTTAACAAATCATCACCTGCGCATATATGTCTTCACTTTTTTTCCTTCATAGGTATGGTTTTCATTGAAAACATTCTCATTTCCAATTGTCTTATTGGCTTTATTGTTTTTTGGTCATCGTGTTAAAGAATTAGAACGTCCACCGAATATATTAGAAAAAACTATATTTATCTTGGGTATTTGTTTATCTATCTTGAATTGTCCAATTGAATGGTTATCACTTATGTAAGTTGATTTATATTTATTTATTTTACTTAACCTGTATTTTTCATTACAAGGTTGTGTAGATTGTTAAGTTATGAAATGGCCGTCTTTCATTGCTTCCAGGTTTTTCTAATGGTGGTGTGGTCTAACTTTGATCGATTCATGATTTCAAAAATGTGTGTAACTTAACAACAATCTTCACAACAACCCCGTAATGTAAATTACCTGTGCTCACTAGTGACTAGCTTCGTGAGGAATCTTCGAGTTCTAGTCGGAATCGGTGATCAGTGAAGTTCAACCTGTTCGGTTGTAGACAGTAACTACCGAAGACAGTGTATGAGGTTGCGTACCTCCGTGAATTGATCGAAGTTAGACATTAACACCGTTAGATACCGGCCTAGTGGTCCAGAGGTTAGGTGTTCGCCCGCAAGACCGAAGGTCCCGGGTATGAATCATGCGCGTAGCAGGAGTCGTGGATGTACTTTGCTGACGGGTCCCATACTAAGACGAGACGGCTGTCCAGTGCTTCCAAGTTTCTAATGATGGTTTAGCAAAGATTCATTCAATATGTAATTTAAATTTTGTCTTTAGATTAGAACTAAAAAATACTGTGATCAGTACATGAAAGTTTCAAAGAAATTTAACATCAACTCTCAAATGGGCAGAGTCCACCCTTCCTTTCCAAATGTTCTCATACAGACATTAGTACATATAGTCACTTTCAGAGAAGTCCTACTCAATCATTTCGAACTTGAATCAGATTGACGGGTACGAAAGATCCATCAAGGAAGATTGGAAAACTCTCATTCCAAACCAAAAGGTGCACATGGGCTCCGGAATCGTCGCGGAATGTTGTTATGGTGTATGAAACTATCGTTGGTAATTAGCTATCATGCAACTGAATCACTTAACATTGTCCCACCACTGTCTTGTAGATTAGACTTGTAGGCGGAAGGCTGGGGTGACTGATCTCCAGAAAAACGTAACTAGCCTCCTGGATTCCACTGTTAGATACTAGCCACTTCTGCTAAACCTCTAACATTAGTTACAAATTACATTACAAACTTCAACCAACTAGTCTATTCACTTGCATCTACACTATACACAAACCAATAGTTATCCAACTTCTGTTAATGCTGTCGTTAGGAAACCAGTTCAAGGTGGGAATGGCAAATCAATAGATGAAGTGTTAAAACTTCATCAGTTGAGGTGGTTGGGACATGTATTACGTATGGCTAACCACTGACTGCCACGACGAGCTATGTTTTGCAGTGTAGGAGTAGATTGGAAGAAAGATAGGGGCGGCCAAACCAAAACATGGCACAAATCCATGAAGTGGACTGAGTCATGTTGGTAAATGTAGGCTACCTGGTTGGGGTCCGCGAGATGATAATAATCGATGGTTAGAGACCTTGAACGACATGGCTCAAAATCGTTTGCAATGGCGCAGGTGCATCCACTCATTGTGTTCTTTCTAGTTCTAACCTTCTGAATTCCTCATCATCTCTATCTTTCTCTCTCTAAACTTATCTTACTGAATTATACTTCTCGAATCATCATATCTTCGCTCCTTAATCTTCTCCATTACTACTAATACTTCTATTATTGCTATCACTGTTGAATTTGAACTGACAGTTGCGTCTCTCTGTGCTTATGTGGTTTTATTGCAACCTGAACTGATGTACATACGTACTTACGAAGTTCTGTGTTGTATCTGTCTGTCTGTTTGTCTGTCTGTCAACTTCTGTTAAACGTATTATGCATCGGTCAATGTTGTGAGTATTATTATTATTATTATTAATATTATTACCCGATATTTAATAAACTTTCATAAATAAATGAATTCATCTTATTCTAATTGTCATTTTATTGTTTTCCTCATTTAGATATAATTTCTCATTTTGGCTTATTTTAAGTGATATACGTCAAGGTTTATTTTATGCTACACTTGTATGTTTTTGGCTTATATTCACCGGTGAACATATGATGCAAGAAACCGCACCACCACCACCAACGTCGTCATCATCGTCATCATCATCAGGGCATAATCGATTCAAGTCTAATAGTAACAGCAATTATTTCGGTTTAAATCGATTATATTGGCCAAGAATTTTACTTGTAGCTAGTTGTTGTGCTGCTTTGTTTATATTTGAATTAGCTGAACGTGGAGTACAAATACGTAATCCATTTTACAGGTGATTATTTCTTTCAATATGTAAAGATTGTTTAATTGGTCGTGTTGTTGTTATTGATTTATATTTGGAAAAACTACCTAAAAAGCTTGAAAACACTAGGCGTTATACTTGGATCAGTTCATGATATCTTGTGTGCTGTTACGGGTGGTATGAGGGCGGTTATCACTTCCTGGCTGCCTACACCGTGGAAGGTTGTTTCTTGAGGCACCTAAAAAGGAAGATACATTAGTGCTGGTCTTGGAGACCTAGGAACGTGACCGCAGAGTCCATGGGACAACTGCTTGAGGCTGGTCATGCACGGCCTTTTTATGAAAGGTTTTTTGAGGATTAGCTCCGCTCTTATTGAAAGCCCTTAGTGGGCACCCTTACCGACGGAGACAGAAATCCGTGAGGTAGGGTGAGGTGTGACATTTTTAGGGTCGACCTTTTTAACCCTTCCTTCCTTGTGAGAAGGTAGCATCGCTGCAGATGCTGGTTGTCCGAGGGAAACACCTTACTGCTGTCAAACCCCTCTGCAGTCAGCAGTACGACTTCGCCCTCAAACCTTGAGTAGATGCTTTTAGTCTCATCGTTCTCCAATCGACCTCTCTGGCTGGCATGGTAGAACCTTCAGGAACATATGTTCCAGCCAATATAGCTCGGTTGGGTCATGACGATAGGCAAGCTCGACTACCACGTCAAGGTAGCAGCTACGGTCGGGGAGGAGGGTATAGCGATGCTTGTCACTCGTCGGCTGCTCACACTATGGAAGGGTATTTCTTGAGTTCATGTTGGTCCTAGTGACCTGGGAGCTTGACTGCAAAGCCAAAATATCAATACATTATTGGTTGTTAATCTCAATAAAAAGTGTTATCCAATTTTTGGTGTCCAATGCTCTGAACGCAATACGTGCCAACCTCACAAAACTGTCTACTTGGGCGAAAATATGTGATTAGAATAGAAAGTTTATTTGGCTAGGAAAAAATCTATCCAGGTTAATCCTGAACTCAACCGCACCCTCTCCCAAGTTTTAGTGAGTGTCAGAAAGAAAGGCTCACTTTTCATTTGAAGCGATGTACTCACATAGTTCAAAGAAGGCTTACAAACCAAAGAAGCCGATTTATTTTTTAGGAGGTAAAAGTGATATAATCAGCCAATAAGAATGTAGCCAAATGAAAAGGTCATTCAGTGATCATCAAAAGTGTCTTAAATGACGAATACACATCACATTGGTCAGGAAATAGCTTCTTTTTCTACAGAGGTGAAATATATATACGAGTATTTGTACATGTGATTCTGTAGCCAAACTTGACTTTCAATTCTAGTCTTGCCTTCTCGCTCAAGTAACCAGTTCTTGAATGTTTTAACACGTATCACGACCAGAGGATCTCAGGCACCGCACATCATAAGAACATCGTTCAAACTACGGATTATTTAAAATGTACTGTAGTGTGCTTCGAAGACACATATGATCGAAAACCAGTAACCTACGAATATCTTCTACTCTGACTGGCCATGTTTCACAGCCAGTGAGAGTAGAAGATATTTAGTCCTAAATTTATTCATTAAAAAATTATCATTCATTACAACTGATTGTATATCTATTTAACATAGTTTCTTTTTCCTTGTTCTTCTTCGTCTTGTTCTCCTCATTTTCTCAAGTATATGGTCACATCCAATTGCAGCAAAAATGGGTTTAATCAGTATTATCATTGGTGCATTATGTGCATTTGCTTATATGATTTATTTAACTATTCTTATTGGTAAAGCATTTTTACAAATAATGCATAAACGTCGTCTATTATATCATTTGCCAATGGAACAACGTCAATATTATAGTGGTATAATTTATCGTTTTATGATACTATTAACATATACTATTATATGTGCTGGACTTACTGTAGCATTTTTTATTTTTAATCAGGTAAGGAAGAGAAAATTCTTTTTTTTTTCTGTTGTGTTTTCATTGTTTGTTATTGTTGAAGGTGGTCATTCATCATTTGTAAATTTGTAAATTTGTTTGAATAGGCATTGATTAATTAATTATCGTTATCGCGTTATTGGGTAATCTACTGTGCAGTAGTTCGCTCTGTCTTACTTTATGGCTGTGAAACATGGCCATTGAAAGTAGAAGATATTCGTAGGTTACTGGTTTTCGATCATAGGTGTCTTCGAAGCATTGCTCTCGTATATCGTGGGACACCCGAGTAAGCAACGCTGTTATTAGGAATCGGGTGCTAGGTAAGAATGGCAGATCAATAGATGGATTAATGAAACTTCATCAGTTGAGGTGGTGGTTGGGACATGTGCTGCGTATGCCTAACCACCGACTGCCTCGACGAACTTTGTTTTGTAGTGTAGGAATAGGTTGGAAGAAAGCAGGGGGCGGCCAAACGAAAACATGGCAGAAATCTATGAAGTCATTGACGAGTGGACTTAGCCATGTCGGTAGTTGTCGACTACCTGGTTGGGGTCCGTGAGATGATAATAATCGATGGTTAGAGACCTTGAATGACATGGCTCAAAATCGTTCGTAATGGCACAGGTGCATCCACTCTTTATGTTCTCTCAAATCCTAATCTTTTGGATTCTTCAACCCCTCTAGTTTTGACTTTCTAAACTTGTCTCACTGAATCATACTTCTTGAATAATGTCTTCGAACCCTAGTCTTCTTTATTAACATTAATACCTCTACTATCTTTATCACTATGGGATTTGATTTGACATTTGAGTCTCTATGCTAATATGGTATGGTAACCTGAAATTATGTACATACGTACGTAGTTCTACGTTGCAACTGACTGACTAACTGACTGAATACAACCAGAAAGTTTGAGATTCCACATTTATTGGATTTAAACACACATAATTAATTATTGGTGTAGAAAGTCACTTAAATATATCTGTGTCATGCAAACTGTTGAATTTCTGTGTCGGTTGGTATATTGTTTGGCTGTCTAAACTGAAACATATGATTTGCTTAAGAGGCCACTATCCGAGACTTTTACCTAGAGGTCTAATCGACAAGACCGTGAAGTAATGTTCGGAGATTCAGTCCCATGGCAGCTAGTCACCAAGTACATGTTTGTTTCCTCGAGAGCCTGGAGCCCATCTGCACTATTAGTCTCAAATCAAGGTTCATACACCCACACGGTTTATGTCCTAGCCGGATATTTTCTTTTCATTCTCTCAATCTCATACAACAACTCACCGACGTGAGAAGGCAGTGAGTAGTAGGACTTCCCTAGTACTGGCTATATACGGGTGGTCATATGAGAGTAGCTGAAGAGATAGAGAGATTCTCCTCATTCTTAACCGTACCAAGACATTTGGAGGCTTTTAAACAGTAGTATATGGTTATCATAAATTACGCTTGTCCCTCCATTCTTTCCGAACAACCAGATGTAAGTGATATAGTCAGCAGCCAAACAGTAAAAATACAGGGATAACATTGCAGAAAATATTTCGAAAAAAATGTATATGAAGCACTACTGAAAATCATGATCTCGAAGAAGACAGAGTGTGAGTGCGCCTGTGTTAGTGTGAACTATTCACACCTATCATTGTTCAAATATTATCTCAGAAAATACTGAGGAAACTAAGAATTCAGCACCAATTCATAAAATATAGGACTACTACTGATAAACATTGGTGAAATGAAGAACATTGATGTATAAATGAAAGAAAGCCGTTATATACACATATCATAAGGTAAATTGAAATAAAAGTGTAATACAGCAGCTAGTTAGTTTAAATGATAGGTGTATTAATTATTTAGTCAAGAATACGACCGACGAAGTCTCAGTACGGATACATGTTTTGGTCTGGCCGCCTCTAACTTTCTTCCAACCTACTACTCCGCTACACCACAAAACATAGCTCGTCGAGGCATTCGGTGTTTAGCCATACGTAACACATGACCCCGACAACCACCTCAACTGGTTGTGCTGATTAATAATTTCGACTAATTCACACATCTTTAATCTCTCTCAATTTTCTCCTACTAAAGGTTACCGAAGATCAATGGAAATGGGGTGAAAAAAGTGTTGAATACACATCAGCTTTCATAACTGGTGTCTACGGGATGTGGAATGTATATGTTGTGGCTGTGTTGTGCCTGTATTCACCATCACATAAATTTCGTAGTGTTACCGGACAACAATTATACAATCGGCTGTTACTTCAAACTACTGTACCAAGCACAGTACTACTACCTGAGACTAGTAGTAGTACTAGTCATCCTACACAGTCTACTACCATTGCAACTGTACACAATAATACATTTATCGATCATGAATTTGATTCATTTGATAAACATTCAGAGAAAATACAATTGGTCTGTAAACAACATCAACAACAAACAGAAGAATATGATGAGGAGAAGAAGAAGACGAACAATCATGTGACGACGACGACATCTGGCAAATCATCTTATCTACTCACGGAAGGTTTGAAATTTCTACGTAAAGAAGCTTTTGAATAATTATTTTTAACAATGTGAATCCACTAACTCACTAACTAAATAACTCACTAACTTGTTCGAATGCGAATATTCTCTGTTATACCAAAGGTTTTATTATTATTATTATTATTATTATTATTATTATTATTGATAATAAACTACTTTGCATTTGTATTTTTATTCCAAGTATTATGCATTTCATTTATTTGTTATATGTGTATCTGACTTTTTTTTCGACGGGACGATGAAGTACAACAAAAGAGATGGAGTTGTTTTTTTCTGCAAGAGAGAGAGAGAGAAAACAAGGGATCGATAATCATGTTGTCTTTGTGTGAAATATCATTTTTAATCGGTTTAATACAAACAAGAAACAATCACCATCCTCCTCATCGCCATCTTTTTTTTGCTTTGATTGTTCTATCGAAATGTGTTTTTTGACTTTTAAGTAGACTAAAATTGTGTTATACACTACTTTTTTTCTCTTTTCCCTATTTATGATTGAATAGTGAGTGAATGAGTGATTGAGTGCGTTTATCTGTTATGATTGCTTTTATTTTATACCTACTTATTTATTAGTCATTGTCTTTTTTTCGGCGGTTTGTTTAAATTTGCTTATTTTGGTTATTTCCGGTGTCATGAACTGTCACAAGCTGCTGCATCATGTTGTGCCTTTGTTTTCATCTTGTTCTCTTTTTGTTTAATTAAATAAGCTTTGAAAAACAATTTATTTATCAGTAAATCATTTTAATAAATCAATAAGTAAAATTTCACTTGTTTATTCCGACAAATTTGTTTATTTTTTTGTCTGGAATTATTTATTTGATAAGGAGTGAAGTAGTCGAGTGTGTTGATCGCTTCACTTATCTGGGGAGTTTTATCAGTGCTGATTGGCTGGTGACTGATGAAATCTCAGCGTGGATATAGAAAGCTAGATTGGCTTTTGCCAAGCTGTGTCATCTATGGCGCAGGCGAGATATCTGTTTGTTGATTAAAGGATGAGTGTACTGAGCAGTAGTTCGCTCCGTCCTACTATACGGATGTGAAAATATTTGTAGGTTGCTGGTTTTCGATCATACGTGTCTTCAGAGCATTGCTCATGTATCGTGGTACAACCGTATAAGCAATGCTGTCGTTAGGAAACGAGTACTAGGTAAGAATGGCAGATCAATAGATGAAGTGGTGAAACTTCATTAGTTGAGGTGGTTGGAACATGTGTTACGAATGCCTAACCACCGACTGCCTCGACGAGCTGTTTTGTAGTGTAGGAGTTACTTACTTACTTACTTACGCCTGTTACCCCCAATGGAGCATAGGCCGCCCACCAGTTTTCTCCAACCAACTTTTCCTGGGCTTCTCTCTCCAGTTCTGTCCAATTTTTGTTCATTCCTCTCATATCTTTCTCTATTTCTCGGCGTAGGGGTAGGCTGGACGAAAGCTAGTGGCACCCAAACCAAAACATGGCACAAATGCATGAAATCACTGACAAGTGGAATGAGTCATGTTGGTAGATGTAGGCTACCTGGTTGGGGTCTCTCAAATTCTAACCTGAATTCCTCATCATCTCTATCTTTCTCCTTATAACTTTATTTCACTAAATTATACCCTAATCTTTTCCATTACTGCTAATACTTCTGCTATCGCTGTCAGTATGTAATATGAACTGATAGTTGCATCTCTGTGCTAATGCGGTATGGCAACCTGAAATGATGTACATACGTACATACGAAGTTCTGTGTTGTGTCTGTCTGTCTGAATTATTCATTCATTTATTCACTCATAGATCGTGAGTTCGAAATCTTGTTCGGTACTTCAGTGCTACAATTTGGTGTTGTTGTTGTTGAGGGTCAGCTTTAAGTTTATAATGATGGTCTAACAATGATTGGTTGATGATTTAAATGTGTAAAAAGACTGATCTTCATAACTCCAGTTGAAAAATTCTTGCAATGTGCTCATTTGTAGTCACTAGCTTCGTGTGGAAATTCTCAGAGTTCTAGTGAGAATGTGTGAACAGAGGAGATCAGCAGCCGTGTGGAATGTGGGTAGTAGCTACCGAAGACAAAGGGTTGGAGTGGCGCAAAATTCCTAGATTGATGAGAGTTAGACATTACCACCGTGGAATGCTGCCAACACAGTTGTCCATTGTTTAGGTGTTTATCGTAAGACCGTAGGTCCTCTGTTTGAATCCTATGAGTAGTAGGAGTCGGTGATGCGCACTGCCACAAATGAGTCCCATTAAGATGATGCTTAAGGTAAGTTACCGAACGTAAATGCTTTCAAGTCAGTCGGTATGTTGAGGCATTTAAGATCTAGTGAGTTGTCAAGAATGTCTAATGAAGAGCCAAATGATATCCTCCCTTTCTCTTTCTAACTTTTAATCTCAATTATAGCTTTCTTAAGTTCGCAAAGAGTAGAGTGATGATACCAGTTTGTGATGAAAACTTTAACCCTAAGACTCCAGTCGAACTCGCAGTGCCTAAATCTAATATTTTGCATTGTGGCTGGTGTTAGTTGATGACGAAAACTGTGTACAGTGATAACTCGGACTCATAACATTGTCTCAACTTTTAATAGATGAGTTTAGCATTGTTCTTCCACTAACGAGAATGATTTAATATGTGAGGGTGGAGTATTCAGGTTAAAACTATTATTTCACTGATCTTATATTGTTTTTAGGTGTTAATCGTTTTATGACTACTAGTCAGAATTTCCTGATTGGTTGATTGACCACTGAAGGTTGTCGGTATACTACAGTTTAACCAAACATTCTTACACGTCCAGTTTTCATTTGCAATGGCTGAGTTGTTGATGATATATAGATCAGTTAATTTCTCTACCCTCTCTACTTAAGGAACAGTTCTAGTTTCTTTGTAGGACCGAATAAAGTTAGTTTGTTTACTCAGTCCTTATGATCTTGATAAAATCAAGAGTTATTTGGAGGTTAATGTACTTCGGTAATGTCCACATTTTTATATGTTCACGAGGTAGGTGCAACCGAAATTCATCATGAGGCATGAGTCATTTATTTGAGTATATTTAAGTTTTGAATTTTGATTAAGAGAAACGATGAGATGTCACAAGAAAAGCAGGTAAAATTTGTAATTGTATGTGAACAAATAGAAACAACATTGGTTATAATAAGTCATCAGTATGTTACAGGAGATGTTTGAAGTACTTAACATACCACAAGCCATTTTTATGGACACTAATATAAAGGTACCTATGTGATTATCCAACCTCTTCTCAACGTAATCTACTAATGGTGCTTTGATTATAGTTTGCCGAAAGATACATAAACTTACGGCGCCAACAACCTCCATCCCATTTGAGTGTTTCCACTTCATTTAACGACAATGTGTAGACTTCATGTGATGGCATTCACTGACCAATTCAGAATTGCTCAAGTTGTAACCTGGAGTTTTTCGCTGTCCCTATTATTTACTCTCCCTTAGAAAGGAGGATGACGATGGCTCCTCTACAATGTTTCTGAGCACTTACAACTTATTACACAGCCTCTGAAAAGACGGTTGAAGAGTGGTTCCGAGTGTTCTTTCACAGCTCAGTAACAATAAAACCGAAGAAACTGGACTTTGACGTAAAACACCTCAGAGTATTACAGTAAAAGGTTAAGAGGATATAACGAACTGCACTTTTACTCTTACTCTGTTCTTACTTTGCCTTTAAACAAGGAAAAACGTTTGTAATTTGATTGTTGATGATGATGAGAATCTCTGAAAGAGAAAACAAACGAAATAAATAGGAGTGGATAACTCCTAGGAGAAATATTTTGACGGGCCAAATATTTCTAGTACTTACTATGGAGTAGACATTGTGTTTAGTAGCTTTATCAATAAATAAGAGTAGCAAGCAGTCAAAACTTCGAAAGTTTTTTTCAGGAAACTGTTTGATACAGCAATTCACTAGTTATCCGCCTGTTCAAATATTAGGAAATCCCAAAGTTGTGACTCAGGTAACTGTCACATTGCGGGACAACAGTGTATTTATCGATAACTATGATTTATAATAACGGCTGATGACTCTACATATTGTTTGAGATTGTTAATAATAAGATATTCGATGAATTAAAGCTGATTATTTTTTTCGTATCTTCAGTAATAAACCGTCAGTGAATAAACTAACCCGATGTGTTCGCTTCACATATTTCAATATATCCTTATCATAAAAATTAGATTCATATAATTTACTCAAAGGAAGAGTTCAGACCATCAGCTGACAAGTGTCATACTTCGAATTACATCGGAAAACCTTAATACTTCATTAACTCATGTAGTGTGAAAATAGTCAAAATGACTAGTCTTGAAAAGTAAACCATACAATAACCAATGCCCTTGATTATTGAGGACTATCTTACTGCTTTCAGATTGTCCTATAAAATAATATAAGTATCTTTCTCAACACGGTAATATATATAACTATAACGATAACAAGTAGATCAGGTGTTGTTTTGTTAGCCTAGGTTGAGTGGCTCAACGTTCGCAGAGAGCCTATTGATAATGTCAGAATAGTGTAGGTCAACGGTTGGCTTACTTCCTCATTTGATGTCAGTGATGTAATTAATATATCCTGTTGTTCATTCTTTTCATATGTTTCCATTATTCGGCGTAATGTGTCATTAGTCCCCCCTTTTCTTTTTCCCTTGAGGAGACCGAGGGAGAGCTTGTCTGTTTAACGACACTGTCGAAGACTTTTCTGATACTGATAGTAGACAGCAGCCTCTGTAGTTCTCACATTTGCTGAGATCTCCTTTCTTTGTTATTTTGGTCAGGTATCTTTCTGCCCTGTCTGTTGACACTTGTTTTTCATCCCAAATGTTGTAGAAGAGAATGTAGAATATTTTTACAGGTGCTACCACGTCTGATGACCAAATCGATCTTTACGACTGTTGGTGGGTCATTATTAATCGGGAGGTACACGGGTGCTGCTTCAATGTTGGGCGGGTTCAGTGGCACTGGTTAATTCAAGGATTCTTCATAATGCTTTACTCAAGTGTTTCGATGTTCTCCGATGTTGGTAATTACCTTGCCCTCCTTGCCTTTACAGCTTGTAGTGGTATACTTTTACGAAGAGAACACAATCGCTGAAATGGAAACATTTATCACTGTACTTAATTATAACAATAATTGTCCTAGTGTTCTCCTTTTGTTCACCTTTACTAAAGACTATAACTCAAGCGTCAGGGGTGTGACTCCCATTCCGCGTTTCTCCTCGGTGGTTGATAGCTAGCTCTTTATTGAAGTCTTGATATTATTTCGATATCACAAGACCACGGATCAATACACCTCTTCATCCAGTTATTGTCTTCTTGCTGATTTCTGGATCTATCTCGCGAATGATAGTTTCAATTTCACTATAAGATCTTTCTGCTTTACGATAGTTTCCAACAAGCTTCTCTGTTTTTTTTCGCACAATCATCTCAAGTTTCCTTTTTCTTGCATCCTTTTATGCCGTCGTCACTAGATCTTCAACATATTAACGTTTGTCGGCTCTATGTTTTAGTCTTTTGTGTTCTTCTTTGGCTGATATTAACTGCCGCCTTATTGTTCCTCCCTTCTTGGATCTTATTCAGTGTATCAACAGTGAAATGGAGCATTTTCATTTTCTTGGCCTTTGTATGACAACAGCTTTCCTGAAGCTAGTTTTTTTGTCTAACCTATGTTCAATATATCTTAATGATTCCAAGTACTACCAGGTTGTATCTTTTCATTTCTTTAGCAGCTTGGATGACTCTCCTCGCCTTTAATATTGTATGCGAATTAATCATTGCTCAAGTAATCAAGGTAGGCACCAGCCTCGAGGCTCCCAAGGAAACTCGGCTTTCATCATGAGACACCGAAACTCTTCTAAGTGAAGACGTCCTGACTATTGGGTAGAAATTAAATTTAAGTTGATAAGTCAGGGTATGAAGTATATTTTCTAGTTAGCGCTTTTCGGCTAGTTTATTTTCTACCGGCTGGGATCGCTTACCCCATGCCTAACTCCCCTCCCTTATACAGTCATGGGACCGGCATCAGCCTTAGAGTGGCTTCAGGCGGAGTTATTTGTCTCTGGACTCAGTAGCTACGTGGATTACGCGGTAGCGTTTGAAGCATCAAGTCCTGATTTTTAGTTGTAGGGTGAGCGACGATTCTTAGATGCTGGAAAATCCAGCTTGCTAGAACAAAATATCACGAAACGAACATTCTGAATTCTACAGCCAGCTGCTACTCACTTCTACTTAGAAAATATTTTATGTTCAACACAGCCTTGTCAATAAAAAATGCATTACGATTCCGATAAAGATCTTTAGTGTTTGTGAAATGAGTATCTATTTTCAGATATAAGTCATAATAATGATATGTAAAGATTCTTTAAACAAATTCGATACTGGACAGTTATGTGCTTATATCAAAATTTAAATACTAAGTTAAGGATCCAGATTGAGGTTTGGACTGAGGAATAACTGTCTAGGTAGTTTAGACACGCGTCTTGCCCAGTTGAAATCAAAGCAAGTGATTAGGGTAAATAAGAGCTCTAATATTCATCATAAATATAAATATACATCAATACCTAAACAATATTATCACAGCTATTCAACCAACAATTGTTCAATCATTCAAATGAATGACATTCTATCCCCCTGGATAGATCAGATTCGTCCGACAGATAATATTTGGTTGCTTCTTAACACACTGTTTCTTATTCTGGAAGGGTGCTTAACTTCACAATCGAAATTCACTACTCTAGTCAAAGCAAGCAATCCACTCAAAACAAGAACTAATGAATAAAGATGTCGCCATGACTTAAACAACATAAATGCAGTTCAGAAAGAAACATAGAAACTCTGTGAAGGTAAAAGAAATAGAAACTATAATACAATACAAATATTATCATCTCAGAATGGAATCGAACGGGTCAAAAAATGTATAACTAAAGGAATTAATAAGGACAAATTACAAATGTATACATAGAGGGATTTTCAGAAACAAAGCCTTGAAAATGGAGCTTACACTATGATGTACATATACTGAAAATAATAGCGATTGCAGGTTTCTAGTTATGCACTCAACATGCAGCGTGTCGTCATTGCAAATTATGGGTCACTTATGCGAATGAATTCAGCGCTGTCGACTGAAGCCAAGTAACTCATTTATGGCTGTGTCCGTTAGTAATTCGATGGATGTTATATTTTATAAACATAAATAATCTTTCGTCCATTGGTGTCAGAACTTGGGTCAAGAAACCAGTTACTTGTCATGGGAAAGTTTTACCAAGAGGTTTGACTTCCATAACTTGTGCTTCAGTGACGAAATGAACAGAAGTGTTTGTTTCGAACAGCTGTCAACTGATTAGAATTAGTGCGATCGAGTGGCTAGACCCCTATCCATTGGAAACTTTCCAGCACCCGGAACATGGATCAAGAGCAAAGAAATCAATTGGTTTATACTAACTTGTAAAACAGATACTGGTTATCGCATATTGGATATTGAATGGCCTACTTGCAAGGTCTTTTTTGTTTCTCTCCACAGTTGTCATGAGACTTTAACGCGACATTCTAAACCAGGGTTCACCAGTCCTCTAAATGCAATGGCAGCAGTGGCGAGCCTAAAGCACGTTTTTGGTTACCGAACCGGAATCTCTGGGTCTATTGTGTTTGCTGATGATCGCATCATTGTTTATCCATGTGGATCTAACTTGGTCTTGTACAATGTCGAGCAAAATGTACAAAAGTTTATTGCAGGCTTAGAAAAGTCTGAAGGGATGACAGCTCTTGCCATCAGTCCAAATAGAAGATTTGTTGCTCTTGCTGAGAAAACTCCAGATAAGCCAGTGGTAATCGTATATGATGTACACACTCTTCGCAAGAAGAAAACATTGTACTTTCCCGATGTCCATTCAACCGAGTTTGTTAGCATAGCATTCTCTCCAGATTCAAAATACCTTGTTGTACAGAGTGGTGGTCCTGATTGGATTTTGACGTACTGGTCCTGGGAGAATTCCAAACAACTCGCTAGTATTAAGACATCAACATCTAATACTGTCAAACAAGTTAAGTTGACAAATTTTTAATATTTAATTTACTTAGGTTTCTTTTTGCCCTCATGATTGTGCGGTAGTATGCGTCATTGGCACAGATGTCCTTCGTTTTTTTCGTTATGGAGATAACGTTCTTAAAACATTTGGATTAAATAAGCTAGAACCTCAAAACTTTAATTGTCACACTTGGATCAGTGGTGAGAAAATGGTCCTTGGAACAGATGATGGACGATGGATATTGGTGGAAAATGGTGAATCAAAATTAGAATATGACATTTCCACAATAAGTGAAAAACATGAATCATCTGAGGAAAAGTATATATTAATTTTGTTCATTTTTCTAATACCTACGTAAAAATAATTTCTTAGGTTTATGAAAACTATACTTAGAGTAATAATGATCGTATTTTACTATACGTATCGTTATTTGTTTGATGACTTAGGATTGAGTTACTGCTTCTTTTCACATCATGAGTGTGAAATATATATGTGTTTTTGATTCAACATTTCATTTATCAGGCTTTTTCACTTATTTAGTTTATAATGATTCTGTTGAACTAGATGATCACTTTTACTAGTTTAACATAGTAGTAAGCTTACAAAAACTATCCTTTAAGTAAGCAGTGTATCTTAGCAGCTTAAAGACTTATTAAAATATAATATTATAATGATCCCTATGTAAAGTCTTTAATGTCAATATACTTTACATTTATAACAAACTTGAAATAGATTTTCCATTTTTCTTTTACGAATCATGGCTAGCAGTATGCAGAAGCTCTGATTTAGCATATTGTGAAGAGAACACTTAAGCAAGAGTCGTCATAAAAGTTGATAAACGTATTTTGTTTCACAGTCTAATTTCACTCTCATACCAATTATTTTCTTTTAAAATTACTATCAGTACTAACTTCTTACTTTTTATTGCATATCAATAAATCAAAACATGTTAGTATACTTTGAGAATGCGGATCAAGGAGACCAGAGTCAATAATTTAGTGTTCTTATGATAAAGATGAGGTTTAATTTGTTTGGAAATTCGTAAGTTTTGCACAGAAAATCCTCTTTCACAACTACCAGTACTCATTAGATGCTAATTCGTTTGCGACTAAATAACCAGTTTTAAACCTTTTTCCGCTTGAAGAGCAGATGGGATTCAATTATGTAGCGTACAGCCATCGAATTTACCGGCAATATCGTTCTTATATATTATGTTATCAAAAAATAGTTGAGCTATCTTCTGTGTACAGAGTACAGCTAATAAAAACTCATTTACTATATCTTCATCAGATATTTGACTCCGAAGATTCATTATTATTAGTTAACACTACATTTCCAGATTACTTGTTGACCTATTTAGTTGATCAGTCATTTGTAATGTAGAACTTGGCACGTATGTGTATTTTATCAAGTTGACGCATCTCATCAGAAAAGCGTTATGAAACTATCAAGACAAACGTCAGATTATTTGAAGTATTAAAAGTATCATTTATGATACAAAAAAATACCTGGCGTAATTAGCAAGATTTAGGATAAAAATCGGTTTGAAAAATATGTAGAACAAGCGTTTTATGGTAAAGCTTGAGTGTATCCGCGTCATTTCTGCAGTCTCTTGTTTAGGAGAATTGTATGGACCTTAGTCACTTGGTCTTAACTTACACTATTAAGTTAAACACCGTACAACTTTATGAACCGATGCCATCTAAAGCTTTCGTCTGACCTAATCTTATTTACGTCAGCCAACATCTCACTTTGGGATAGAGGTTCACGGAGAGTAAAACTCTACCGTGAGGTAGGTGGTCATTCGGGTCATTCGCGAATTAACAGACTCATCAGCTGACGTGAGATGTCTATCTAGTTCTCTGCATATAGTCTCAGCCTAGCTCACCCGATATCCTTAAAATATACGAGCTATACTTCAAACGTGTTTGCGAATAAATACTGGTAACCTGAAGCATTCTTCACCTTTAGGGACTTTATTTCACGTGCATATAGAAAAATAGAGCAAACTACTTTGTTACAAACTCTCTCTAGGCTAAAAAGAGGATATTCCAACTAAGACACAACTGAGATAAGTTTGTAAATGCTAATCGAGCTTTCTAAATTGGTGCAGAGATCAATTCACCCGGAATAATGAGGAATAAAAGCTAAATAAAGTGATTGGCTTGCTTAAATATTTTATTCTTTATCATTGATGAGGACCACTCATGAAGTAAACATTTTCTAGATGCAGACTAACCTGTCACATCTAAGCTAATATTTATGTTTAAGAGTGACTGAAATACACTTCATTTTTTTCACCCTCCTCACTAACTTACTTACTTACTTACGCCTGTTACTCCCAATGGAGCATAGGTCGCCACCAGTTCTCTCCAACCAACTCTGTCCTGGGCTTCCCTTTCCACTTCTGTCCAATGTTTGTTCATTCCTCTCATATCTTTCTCTATTTCTCGGTGTAATGTGTTGCTTGGCCTTCCTCTTTTCCTTTTGCATTGAGGGTTCCATGTGAGGACTTGTCTCGTGACGCAGTTAGGTGCTTTTCGTAGTGTGTGTCCTATCCACTTCCACTGCTTCTTCCTGATTTCCTCCTCCACTGGAATCTGGTTTGTTCTCTCCCACAGTACGTTGTTGCCGATCGTGTCTGGCCAACGAATCCGAAGTATTTTGTGTAGATAACTGTTCATAAATACTTGTATCTTCTGGATGATGGCTTTGGTAGTTCTCCAAGCTTCCACTCCATACATTAGAACTGTCTTGACATTTGTATTGAAAATCCTGATTTTGGTGTTGATTGATATTTGTTTGGAGTTCCATATATTTTTCAACTGTAGAAATGCAGCCCTTTGCTTTACCAATCCGCGCCCTCACATCTGCATCCGATCCACCTTTCTCGTCGATCATGCTGTCAAGATATGTAAAAGTGTTAATGTCATCCAAGGCATCTCCATCAAGAGTGATTTGGTTGGTGCATGTTGTGTTGTATCGTAGAATTTTGCTTATTCCTTTATGTATGTTGAGACCTACTGCAGCAGAGGCTGATGCTACACTGGTCGTCTTCTCTTGCATTTGTTGTTGCGTGTGAGATAGAAGAGCCAGATCATCTGCGAAGTCCAGATCGTCCTCACCAAACAGACCATTAATATCTGCGTAGTTTAAGTCAACAAACGAATTGCCTAGTTAGAGGTTGGTTCTTTTAGAATTCGGCTGTATAATGATTGTAGTCTAGATGTTTTCCAAATGAACATTGAATAAATATGGTCGGTTTATTTTGAACTGATCAAAATTTTCTCCTGATAAAATTATTTTTAGTTATAACAGCTTAAACAAACCGGTACTTTGTAGGCTAACTTCTTGACACCTCAAAAAACGGTTTTCTGTACAGTTTTATTATTCTGAGTAATGCAGATGTGTTTTGGCTGTGTTTTGTTAGGAATCAACTTCATTACTATACAACTTTGATTTCTTAACCCTACGATCTTATTGATTATAACTAAAAAAGACTGCCATTTCCATTTCTATGACGCAAAGTAGGTACACCAAAATCTGAAGTATAATAAGTATGTTGAAATGGCTGAAAATCAATCGCCATGCTGCAGGTACATTCACCATTTGTCTCCAAGCCGATTCCAAGCTTCCTGATTTCCCAAAATTCTCAACATTATTATTATTCGAACTCAAATTTTGGTGAAATTTCGTCCTCGGAGCTGGATGTTTCGCTTGTGGAGATCTCATTGTTCTTCTGAACATTATCGGTAGAAGTAAGGTTTTCGAATCTCTCCACGTGTATGATTAATGATGTTGTGTTCAGAAGCAAACAATGAAAGCTCCACAATCATAACATCTAGCTCAGAGGACGAAACTCCACCAAGAATCATCCCCCTGGCCAATAAATCTCTTTCATCATTTCCAAAATAATTCATATTTTCTTCGTGAATCATATCTTTATTACTTAAACGACTACTACTTTCTAATTCACCCTGACAGTTTCTATTTAGTCTGCTAACTTGGTATGGAACCCTGAACTAATAATATGTACACAATGTATTAGGGTATACGTTACATTGACTTGTGGTGCGCGCTAGTTATAAGTAGTATATGACGCGAGTGTAAACGTAATATCTGGCAGCAGAAGATGGGGGAACATCTAGAAAGGAAGAGAGTGGGAACACAATGGAATTTTTATGAAACGCATGAATAGTAGTGAAATGTCAAACAATGGATTGATGATGGATTGAAGATTTGCAAATTAACGGTTTACGATATGGTTTTCCTATTTTACTGAGTAACTCTGTAATTTTCGTTTAATACAATTTGGTTGCTCTCACCTGTGTGCTCCTTCACTACAGACTGACTAACTAACTAACTATCTATTTTCGAAATAAATAAGTTGACTTATGAACAGTGATCAACAGGAATAGTTTTCTTTGCTTAAATCTCAGTTAGTTTTTTTAAACATGTTTGTCAAATTTTTTTATCGATTTCTTTGCTTTTCAATTTGTCTATTAATTAGGAAAGATAATCTACACAATCCAAATAGTATCGTCGCAATTGTATCAACATCAAAAGGTTTAGCTGTCGGTTGTTCGTCCGGTTATGTTTATTGGTTTGAAAATATGGCTGCTGATCATTCTCGTCAATCGCATCAACAAGATCAACGTGGTAAACATGAGAAATCATCAACAACCGATCAAAAAACCACGACCACCACGACCACCACCACCTCCTCATCATCAAAGCATGATTTTCAATTCTTAGGCAGTATACGCTTACCACATGATTCTACAATGAGTAAAGATTCTGATGCCAATAGTCAACAAACGATTACACAACTACAAGTTAATCCGTCGGAAGATTTACTTGTCGCCGCGACAAACACTCATCAATTGTATCAATTTAATTTAAACAATATTGATACAAGTGCAAAAACTACTACTACGAATAAATTACAAGAATCAAAGACAACACATGAAACAATGACATTTAACATGTTATCACAATCATTTCATTATGGACAAATATTAAATATGGATGTCTGTATACGTAAACCATTGATTGTTACTTGTGCAACAGATAAAACTGTCAGAATATGGAATTTTGAAACAAAGTAAGTTGAACTGATGGATTGATTGATTTATATGTTTTTATTGGTTTATGACCAAAACTTTGGTAATTTCCTATGATTATCATTGAAATTGTGAATTGATCAATGGTTAGAGCATTGCTATTAGGAAGTTGAAGGAAGCATTGGATAGCCTCACTTCGTCCTAGGTATGGGATTCCTGCTCAGCTAGCGAGTTTGATTAAAATGGTTAGTTAATTCAACTGAATCTAGAGAGATAGAGGAAAGGTCAAGATGTCTTTAGATAAATATTTTGTCTTACCTAAGAATCTCCTAGAGGTACCGCTAAATTAGGGAGACTATCCCTAACTCAGTGGTCTCCTACTAGCTGCAGAGATGCAGTCTTTTGGCGGGAGTAACTATGATTCTTTTAAGGTAGTCAAATGCCTCGTCATATGAGGGGCGGATTGCTGAGCTGCCTGAGCTTGCCTCGGGTTACACAATGTGGTGCCTTTAGGGGGTTGTGGTGGCGACTACCTCTTCGTGGTCCCGCCAGGCAACGTGGTGGTGGCAACATCGCTGCGGCTAAACGTCGTTCCGATCGCTGGGGATTCCGTGCTTTCCATGGTCCGGATAATTGGCACGCTCATGGTCGCAAGGCTGTGGACTCGTCTGATCAATCTGGGGGATTAAGACTGAACGACTCTAGGTCCGAATCCCGTCCCTAAGCGTAGGTAAACTACCGAAAGGTATGTAGAAGGATGATCGAGGGCGGCCCTGGACGCTATGTTTGGGGAAGCAGCCGCAGACATCCTGGACTACTGACGCTGACCTTATGTGGTTGTCTCTTACATGCTGCACCCGATGTAGTGTGTGAACTGGCGTCGAGGCCCCTTAAACAGGGGTCTCAAGTTGGGTTCCGGTGCTTTAGTGCTGAAAAGGGCACTGAACACCAATGATGTCTGCCCACTTCTGTGGGATGAATCCGGCTTGGCTGAGCGCTTGCGTTTGGTCGAGTCCATGACATCTTCCTCATGGAAAGGTGTACGTTCTAGCTGACCTTGTGGGACAAACTCGATCTTTAGCTTTATGTGGGGTAAAGGGGGCCTCGATCGATTGTATCAACGCAAGGCAGTTGGAGGCCAGACGGTTGGAATGGCTGTTGGCTAGTGCACTGCTTGGGTGGCTTGGTAAACCGCTTCGGGGTGCCAGGTCCAGCTGGGTAAGACCGCCTTATTGCCCTTGCCGATTGGGGATTGTGGATAGTGGATTGGTTGGAGGGATCCGTTGATTCATAAGAGCCCGGGCGGGGGTTACTGCTCGTGTGCGTACTTTTTGGATGTCCAACTTGTCTGCAGACCAATCTGGATAAACTTGTATGTTCCCGCAAGGGGCAGGGAAGACTACTGTCTTAGTACAGTGATAAATCTCTGCGTTGCCGTAAAAAGCAGCGATGTGCATGTGCAGCAGGCCTGTTGGTTGACCAAGATTTTAGCCAAATGCTTCGTCATCTAATTAAAAATGGGTATATTAGGTGACGCGCATAAATGGAGCTTCTTGGGAGTTGCAGTGGCGGCTACCTGTTCGTAGTCTAGTCAGGCAACGTGGCGTTGTTTACAGCGCTGCGGCTAAAAGTCATTCCGACAGTTTGGAATACCGTGTCTAGCATGGTCCAGAATAATGGTACGTGTTCATGGTCGCAAGGCTGTGGATGCGGTTAGCCACTGTGGGGGATTAGGACTGAACGCTTCAAAGTCTGAATCCCGTCCACTGAGCGTGCGTAAATTTGAAATATTGGGATATAGCTTTCCAGGTTACTTGAAGGCGGCCCTAGACGATTTGTTTGAGGAAGCAACCGTAACGATCCTGGACTATTGACGCCGGCTATATGTGGTTGTCCCAAACACTCTGCATCTCGGTGTGTTGTGTAAACTGGCATCGAGGCCCCTTAAACAAGGGTCTCCAGTTGGGTTATGTGATCCAGTACTGAAAGGGTACTGGGCGCCAATGATGTCTGCCCACTTATGTAGTGGGACTAACCCAGCTTGGCCGAGTGCTTGCACTTGGTCGAGTTCATGACATCTACCCCGTGGGAGGGTGTACGTTCCGGTTGACCTTGTGGGACAAACTAGATCTTTAGATTCATGTAGATTTTGGGGGCTCTGATTGATTGTATCAGATCAAGGCAGTTGGAGGCCAGACGGTTGGAACGGCTGCTGGTTAGTGTACTGTTAGGGGTGCCAGGTATAGCTGGGAAAGCACACCTTGCCGCACTTGCCGATTGGTGATTGTGGGTAGTGGATTGGTTGGAGGGACCGAGTTGACTGATAAGTGCCCGAACTGAAGCCACTGCTCGTGTGCGTGCTTTTTAGACGTCCATTTGTCTGCAGACCAATCTAGACAACATGTGCGTTCGAAGAGATCACTGAAAAAGTATAATCTCTAGTAAAAGAAAATTGTCATGCAAAAAAAATTGTCACTTGATATGCTTGAAACTATTACGAGTTCACCTTAGTCGATAAACGAGACCGAGACAATGAACCAGTGACACAGTAGGCTACTCTCATCCGTTGACCCAACTTACTGAAGAAAAGTCTTGATATGGCGTAGAAAATGTATGCTACAAGACACCCAGTCAGCACACAAATCAGGTTTATTTATACATCATAGAAACGTCCTTGAGAGAGACACAAAAATAGCACTCTAAAATAACACAGTAACCAATCACAGCCAACGAATTTTCTGGTGGGAAATGTGATCTCAAATTCAAGTGATCAGTCCATGAATAAAATCCAAAATGAAGACATTTATCAAGCGAGTTTTAGTGGATCTAACGTCCCCAAGAAAAGTTCAAAAGAGAAAACTCGGTTATGAAGAACTCAACAGATTACAGACTTCTATGTTGTTTCCTATTCGACCAAAATGTATATATACGCATTATCTGCAACGTTATATGACCCAGATTCGGATCCCTAGTCCGGGATCCTGATTCTCTTGCAGACTCGAACCTCGTACTTTCTGGATGTTTGTAGAATACACGTTCTGCTTCATATCAAGTCTTCTTCTTTTACTCAATGGGGGTTTGGAGACAATCGGATTAGAGTAACATGTCGTGTCACCGGATCCTTGCTCTTGTTTTCCGACCAAAGTGAACTCGTAAGAGTTCAAGCATATCAAAATTGACATGTTTACGTGCAATGCATAGCAATATATCCATCAATCCATTTTTATAAATTTCGATAGAGAAATTGACAACGGAGAGTTAATTTAAAAATGTCATTTATCTACGCTATATACTTCAAGACACTTTTGTTAAACCACTTGTGAAAACTCAGTGAACACTAAAATCACTGTTACTAGGAAAAGGAGAGTAGTCAACGGTTCTAAATATTGTACAAACGACTACGTCACACCCAATCATACATCGGGAAACAGGAATTGAACAATTCAATCAAAGGTTATGGAACATATAGCTAGACAGTTTGAAAACCAATTACTTTGAAATGCTTAGATAAACGTAGTAGGAAGTAGATATCTATATCTATCGATTTGTGAAACAAATATATTACTGAAACATCCCTTCGAAATGACATCAACATAGCTCTCAAAGCATTTTATACGAGATGTCAAAGACAAGTTCTTACTTACATTTATAAAAACCTAAGCTATTCACAAATTCAAATCTTCTTGATATATATACCAAAATAATTTATCGTAGCCATAGATATCCTCTAGTATAATCCTAAGGTCATTTCTAAAAACCTGGTGTAATATGTCATGTACAATGATCACATTATATTTGATGAAAAATTTTGTATACAAATTATCTTGACAAGTGACTAGATGGTTTAAAAAAAGTGTACAACTACATTGTTCAGGTGAAGTAGATTTCTATCAAAAATTCAGTCAGTCGGTCGGCGACAACGGAGAACTACTGTTAAGATATTCATCCAATATCCTAAGAGAATTATTACTGGTCAATTCCTATTGGTTAGTTCCTACCGGTCAATTTTATGGTCGTTCTAGATATCAATGTCACGTGCTCCAATGTTGTTTCTTATTGGTTGTCCTGACTATCAATGTCACTTCAAATGTTACTTCCTATTGGTCGTCTGAATTGTTAGTGTCACAGAATTCGATGCTGTTTCGTATTCGACCAAAATGTATAAATACGCATTATCTGTAATGTTTTATAACCAGGACCAGGTCTCAGTCCCGGATCCCTTTTTTGGGATCCTGTTTCTCTTCTGGATTCGGACCACGTACTTTCTGGATGCTTGTAGAATACAGCTTCTACTTCATATCGAGTCTTTTTATTTTTACTCAATATGGGGGTTGGGATAATCGGATTTGAGTAGCATGTCATGTCACCGGATCCTGGATCCTCGCTCTTGTTTCCGACTAGGTAAACTAGTTGTAGTGCCTCCAGATATATTCCAGTTCGCTTACATCTAACTTGGTTAAGCCCTTTCGATTTATTTATTTAACCAAGCCATTTGATAGCAACAACTCATTTGTACCATTGGTATTTTTTATTATCTGGTTTGTATGAGCTTGTACGACTGAGCATTGTTTACGCCTACGCGCTTACTCATCCTTTACGCTTTAAATGTTAATCTCTTAATATCCCCATGAACTCACATGATTTGTATCGCTTGTCATCTGACCTTGTCAATCATTCGTCGCTTTTATTCATGTCTGTGCACGCCTATTTCGCTTGTCATATGTCTGTCTTATTTTTGGTCTGACTATATATTCTTAGTCATGTTCTATCTCTTTGAGTTGGCTCAACAGCCTTCTCCAATTCGCTTCGCCCATTCGCTAGCATTGTAATCCAAAGAGTTGGCTCTTTGCCTTCTCCAACGCGCTTCGACTGTCCATTCGCTTCGTTCGTTTTATTCACTGCTTCTCCGCTTCGCTTTGTGGTGTGCCTCGAATAAACGTATTCATCAATACGAGTTCAACTTCTGATTTATAAACCGAGCTTAAGAACACTCAGTAAACCGACACACTACATCGTAATAATTCAAGCATATCAAGTTGACATGTTTACATGCAAGCGTAACATTACATTTATTATGAAACTTTTGTATTCTATAGAAAAAAACCCTTAAAAAACATTTCTTTTCTAGGTTAGTACATGTAATCAATCATCTACTTGATTAAATCATCGTCTATTAAAAAAAAAAACATTAACTCTCTTTATTTTATTTTCTCTATTTCTTTTTTCTCTTTTTTTTCAAAAGTGATTTAGAATTAACAAAAAGTTTTGTTGAAGAAGTATACAGTGTAGCACTACATCCAACTGGTTTATTCCTTTTAGTTGGATTTAGTGATAAATTACGTTTAATGAATATTTTACTCGATGATTTAAGAATATTTCGTGAATTTACAATACGTGGTTGTCGTGAAGTAAGTGAATAAAAAAGGTAGTATGTTTTTTTTTTTAATGTGATATGGTTTTGTGTGTGTTTTTTTTTTGATAGAATCTTTCCCAATAGTGATTTCATCATCGATCTCTTGCTCTGTGTGCGCTAATGTGGTAGTATGACAACATGAACTTATGCGCGTATGTACATACACACATACGAAGTTGTTACGCTTGCATGTGTAAACACGTTAACTTGATATGCTTGAATCATTATAACGAGTTTACTTTAGTCGGGAAAACGAGAGCGAGGATCCGGTGACACGACATGCTACTCAAATCCGATTATCCCAAACCCCGTATTGAGTAAACGAAGAGAAGACTTGATATGAAGTAGAACTTGTATTTTCTACAAGCATTCAGAAAGTACGAGGTCTGCGTTCAGAAAACAAACAGGATCCCGGACTAGGGATTCGGCACCAGGTCCTGGTTATAAAACATTACAGATAATGCGTATTTATACATTTTGGTCGAATACGAAACAGCATCGAATTCTGTGACATCGGCAGTTAAGACGACCAATAGGAAGCAACATTTGAAGTGACATTGATAGTCAGGACAACCAATAAGAAACAACATTGGAGCACGTGACATTGATATCTAGTACGACCATAAAATTGATCAGTAGGAATTAACCAATAGGAATTGACCAGTAATAATTCTCTTAGGATATTGGATGAATATCTTAACAGTAGTTCTCCGTTGTCGCTGACTGACTGACTGACTGATTTCTTGGTAGAAATTTACTTCATTTGAACAACAATGTAGTTGTACACTTTTTTTAAACCATCTGGTCATTTGTCAAGATGATTTGTATACATAAGTTTCAATCAATGTAAGATGATCATTTTACTTGACATATTATTACCCCAGGTTTAGAAATGACATTAAGATTATACTGGAGTCTATCCACGGTTATGACAAATTATTTTCGTATATATATGAAGAAGGTATGAATTTGCGTATAGCTTAGGTATCTATTAATCTCGAACCTGTCTTTGACATATATTAAACAATGCTTAAGAGCTACGTTGATGTCAGTTCGAAGGCATGTTTCAATCATAGATTTGTTTCAAAAATCGATAGAGGTGCTTATCTAAGCATTTGAAATTAATTGGTTTTCAAACTATCTAGGTACATGTTCCATAACCACTGATCGCATTGTCCAATAATTAAATCGTTGAAACGAACAAAAATTAGTCCTGATCGGCATTGAAATGATTGAATATCACCCAGACTACTCAGTAATAATGAGTAGTGTAGGGTATCACACAAAAAAAGAAGATCGAGAGAGGAAATGAAATGGATGAGTTGTAACATTATTATTTACAATACGATCTTACAGTTCTCCATATATCTCCCATTCAGTTTATGCAAGTCTATTGCTTAATTTTTCTTAAAGTCAAACTTTAACTACGCTTGATCGATGTACAAGATGTTGAAATGTTACAATATAAACTTGGGAAAATGTTGAGCATATGCTGTCAGGTTCTCTACTTATTTTAGTGATAGTACTCACATTACCTGACAAATAGTCTTTTAATGTTAGATCTATCTTTAAAGTCAGCTTATGTTGATCTTATGAGAAATAAGCACAGTTTGGATAAAGATTTACTCGGCCTGTATCACCGTCGTTTGATAAAATTACTTACTGGCGCTTGTTATCCCTAATAGAGGCAACATAAGCCGCTGACTAACATTCTCTAACCTACTGTGTTATGGAATATCCTTTCTAGTTCTACCCGAATGCGATGATTCGCTGTTTTCATGTTTGTTTCCAATTCCTGGATCAGCGCATTCTTTGGACTGCTTCATTTCCCTTCGCCCTGAGGATTCCAAGTTGGGTGTTTCCCTCAAAGTGTATCTTATCCACCACCTTTGGCATATATCAGTGGTTGCTCTGGTTGCCGAAGGAATTCGGCTTTCATTATGAGGCATTACAATTCCTCTAAATGAAGACCTTCCAACTGTCAGGGGACAGTTTAAGTCGCTTGAATTATTTGTCTTGGTTAGTCTGCTCTTTTTTAGCGAAGTTAGTTTTATACGGGATAAGGGTCGCTAAACCCCATGCTTAACCCTCTTCCTTTACTCGTACGTGGGACCGACAGTAACCCCAATGGGGCTCCACGAAGAGCTTTACTCTTTTTACAGTATAAATTATCGTATTAAAAACATTTGAGCTTCATCATTTGTAGTTCTGAACGAACCATAATCTTCTTAACCTCAACTTAACTAAGATTTTCTTACAAACTAAACCATCCCCCCCCCATTTTTTTTCCATTTTCATTGAAAATGAAAAAAATCTAGTGTTCATTCAGTAATGGTGGCCATCTGATTGCTGCTGTCAATGGAAATGTCATACAAATTTTCTCAATTACATCATTTGAAAATCTGATCAATTTGAAAGGACATAATGGTAAAATTCGTTCAATGAGTTGGTCAGATGATGATCACAAGTTGATTTCATGTGGTCTAGATGGTGCTGTCTATGAATGGGATACACAAAAAGGTTTAGTGTGAAGAGAAATTTTTTTTCTAATACTCAATATAATCAAAATGGGAATAATATGATTGTTCCCATTACTGAAACCATGAATCACATATTGTTAAACCATCATTAGAAACAGGGAAGCGCTTTGAGAGCCGTTTCGTCCTGGTATGAGACTCATCAGTGGCAGTGCACATCCATGATTCCTGCTGCCTGTAAGATTCAAACTTAGGACCTTCGGCCTTGTATGCGAACACTTAACACGTAGACCACTAAGCCGGTATTCAATAGTGTTATTGTCTAACTTTGATTAATTTAAGGATTTTGCACAGCCTCATCGATTTTCTTAGTTAGTAGTTATCTCCTACACCCGACAGGGTTGAACTTCACTGGTCACGTTATCCCACTAGAACTCGGAGGATTTCTTCACGAAGCTAGTCACCAGCGAGTAAATTGTATGATTTTTCATGATTTCAATGAAAAACGACTATCTCCATAATCCTAATTGAAGTGATGATTTTGGTTATGTAATTATTGATTTAGTTTATTAGAGATATGATGGATATTACTTGCAATGTGGCTTAGAAGTAGTATACAGTAGAATGTCTATCAGAAGTTGTCACTGGATAGAAGAGTGTCTAGTTGAAATGTATGACGCATTCATAGTGTATTGAAGACGAGAAGACAGTCAATAGTCTGCTTATATTGCAAATAGACGTGGTGTCATTGTTATCGTTTTGTAATGATTGAATTTGTCTAATTTGTGGATACTACTTGTAGTGTGGCTTATAAGTAGTATGAAAGAAGACAGTTAATAATCGGCTTGTATTGGAAATAATAGACGTTAAGAGACTTAGATGTGCATATTTTGTCAATAAACTATGCCTTCTCTGCATACACTACTATTCCATTTGATCTAGACGTGGTCGTGCGTTACAGCTGCATTCTTAAAGGATCAGACTAACAGAATGAAAGTTGTCTGTCTACATTGATCGACCGACTAATACCAGTGATATCACCATACAGTATGTGTTGTTATCTTGATGAATGAACTACACTATAAGTATATAAGGTACAATAAGTATATGTTAACACTGTTATCATACAAAATTGAGTAACATGCGTACAGCTTTCAGCTGAAGGTAAGATTAGGAGAATAAATGCCCGAGATGGTGGATAGAACACATATTGCGCAAATCCCCGAACTGTATCATCAAATGGGAACTAACTTGGAATTCTTAAGACAAAGCGAAAAAATATGAAGACCAAAGCGATCATTACACTGAAATTAACCAGAAAGCAATCAGAAGAATGAATAAAGCCTGGGAAAAACTCAAGAGAAGAATATAGGACAGATTTGATTGTAGAATTCTGGTCGACGGCCTATGTTTCAGGAGAGGCAATAAGTGTAAGTAAGTGTTGGGGATGTTAGATCCGCAAAACTCGCTTGATAATAGTCCTCATTTTGGATTTCACGTTTGCCAGCATGGGCTGATCAGTTGACCTTCAGAATTTCATTTCTCACCACGAAAATCCATGGCTGTGATTGGCTGCTGTGTATTTTAGTGTGCTATTTTCGTAACTGTCCCAAGGACGTTTCTATGATGTATAAATAATAAACGAGAGTTGTGTGCTTGATTGTATTGTGATTGCTGGATGTTTGTGGAATATACCTTTCTACGCTTACCAAGTCTTCTGTTTTACAGCTTAGGATTCAAGGTAGCCTACCTGGACGCTGGTGAACTCATAATACTTTCAAGCGTACCTAGTGACGAACATAACAGTGAATATGTTATAAGCCAGTGTAATTCCGTTTTTTGGTTTAGCTGACAAATGAAATTCCTCCTATGTTGTACAGGGACAGTGTGTATCAGGATCGTCTCTTTGGGCACCATAATTCACAACAGTAAAAATCTCTATGAACCAATTATTTATTATGAAATAGACTATCTAAAAGGAGGAGTAGTCAACAAAGTTATAGACTTTTAGATTTTTATTCCACCGTGACATTTTCATACAAACTGACCATCTTCATTGATTTTTTCCATCTACTACTATATATCTGTTGCCCGTAAAAACACTTCATTAATAATTATAATGAATGAATTTGAATAAAATTGATCAGTCACACTAATAGATTATTTAATTTTAATTGAAATTCTAGTTAATATTTATGTAACCCCCTGAATTTACTTACAACAGGAATACGAATTAATGAAAGTGTATTAAAAACTTGTAATTATACAAGTGCAACTGTTTCGTCCGATGCTAAAACTGTTTATGCTGTTGGTTCAGATAAGACATTGAAGGAAATAAGTGAATCACAAGTAAGATTTTTATGAGAATAATTATAGTTCTTATATGAATAATGATTTATCAATAATCCATATAGGAACATGGATAATGTACATTCAGAAATTATTATAAATAAAACAGTTTACTGAATATTAATAAGTAGTATAAAATAATATACAAAAATGAAAAGTGAATAAATACTGGAAATCCCAAGTCAACTAACTTAACAATAATTGGCATGAACCTCATGTTCATTTATTGTACAGTTTCTCATTAGATGTTTACAATTCAAACATAATAATTCTAACCATTAGAAACATTTTATGTAATTTATATCATAATATCATAAAAGTTCTTATCAGTGAAATTGAGCGAAAAGACCAAGAGAGACTTATAAGGCATCAAATTTACATCCCAAGATCACATGAAAACTTAAAGATTGAGTGTAGGAATATTCTAGAATAGACAACTACGAACAAAATAATGGAATAATTTCGAAATTAAGTGACAAATACTCATGAATGTGGTGAGCAGATCAAAGCAAAGTTGATAACTAATTCTCTTTAGATATATGAAGCTGGTTTAAATCTTCTTGAAGCAATCACTTCAGTAAACCGTAGTAAATCCGACATACTTTGCTGATGAATTGTTTTGAAGGACCTCCAAAAATAAACATCGTGACCGCTGTCAAGAAGATGGCATGCATCGCTGATAATTCTTTGTCATTTTAGTTTAAAGAATTCTGTTTCTGAGTTCTCGGGTTTTTATTCTGGAATATTCTTGTATTCAACCTATGAAGATTCCATTGGAATCAAAAGTCGATTATTGTTCGATTATCGTTAGAGACCTGGAAGCACAGGACAGCCATTTTGTCCTAGTATAGCAGTCATCAGCATGCTTCCAACGAAACTCAACAAGACTATCGTGAAAATCATAAAAATGTGCTCATTAGTGACTAACCTTGTGAGGACATTCTCGAAATTCTAGTGGGAATTCGTGACCGGTGGAGTTCAACCCTGTCTGGTGAAGGCAGATACCTACCGAACACGATAGGTGAGGTTGCGTGACACCTTGGATTGATTAAAGTGAGACACTAATATCTTTGGATGTCAGCTCTGTGGTTCAGAGATCAAGCATTCGTGTCTAGTGTTCGATTCTCGCTAACAGGGATCATGGGCATGCACTGCTACTAATAAGTGCCATACATCTGTCTAGTGCTTCCAGGTTTTTAATAGTTGTCTAACAATGATTAATTTATGGTTTTAGTGAAACTCAACTCAATATCAAATTGAACAGAAAATTTAATAACGTTGATCGTGGAATTTACTCTCCTCATTGAATCAGTAAATCGTTGCCCGAAAAACAATTATTCTAATACTATCATTTACCTATTCACAGTATTCGACTTATACAGTATTTAATTGAAGTTAGGTTATGGCTAACAATGAAATCCGAAACTCATGTTACATTCTTTCCACCATGCTTCATTTAAATTATGTAACTGTTGTGGACGTTAGATCCCCTGGAACTCACTGGATAAATGTCTTTATTTTCGATTTTATTCATGGGCTGATCAGTTGATTGACCTTGAGATCACATTTCCCACCAGGAGAATCCTTGGCTGTGATTGGTTACTGTGTTATTTTAGTATGCTATTTTTGTGACTCTTCCAAGGACGTCTCTATGGTGTATAAATAAACGCGATTTGTGTGCTTGCTGGGTGTTTGTAGAATACACTTTCTAAGCTAAATCAAGACTTCTTGTTAGTACATTTTGGTCAACGAATCAGAGTAGCCTACTAGGACGCTGGTTCATTGTCTCGTTCTCTCATTTATCGACTAAGGTGAACCCATAACAGTTTTAAACATACCTAGTGACGAATGTAACAGTTTGATTGTATTTTTTGATTTTTTTCTTCTGAAAATTATCTCCGACTTTTCTCTTTCCAACATATTCACTTATATATATAGATTAATATTGAAATACAATCTACGGATCATTTATTATTTACAACAGTTGCTGTTTCACGTACTGGTCGTATGTTATTTTGTGGTTGTCAAAATGGCTTGATTCGATCATTTCAAATGCCGTTGAAAAATGATAGTACATGGCAAGATTATGTTGGTCATTGTGATTATATTACAAAAATGAAAATGTCAACATTTGATGAATATTTAGTGACTGTTTCTAATGATTGTTCAGTGATGGTATGGCGAATACAAGAACGTGAAGCACGTCCAACTAGAACAGATAAAGATGATATGTGGATGGAAGAAATGTTAATTACAAAGTCAGATTTACAAGAGAAAGTAAATCGGAGAATGTTTTATGTTATATCGTTGATTTTATTTTACCCAGTATATTTTGTTGAAATCGAGAGAACGAGAGAATGAACTGTCTAGTTACGAACTTAATGTACGAGGTTATGTAGTGTAGCTTTGAGACTTGTGACTCTAAAGCTGAGGAAGAAATAAGGATGAAGTGTTGGGATTTGTAGGTAGGACATATATTGCGGAAAGCATCAAACTGTGCCACAATGCAAGCCCTCACACTTGGGATTACCCAAAGCCAACAGAAAGGAGGAAAAACGAAGAACACATCACCTCAGGAATTAGAAGCAGACATGAAAAGAATGAATGGTCAGTGAACTATTCTCCATGACGAGTAATAGACGTAAATAAATGAGTAAATGAGACTTGTGACATACAATTTTGACTTCTGATTAAACGGCGCTAAAAAAATCATTATTCATTTACTGATCTGATCTTTCGGTAAATGGAGATGATAGATGAATTAACTGGAAGCTGTACTCCATTTATGTCTCATTCGGATTATCTTGAAAGGGCACATGTATATGACTAGAAAGAGCACAATGAGCAGAACTTACCTATCGAATACAATGAACAAGGTTACGCAATACCTTGGATTGATTACAGTTAGATATCCATACCGTTGGATGCCGGCTCAGTGTTGTAGAGGTCAATTGTTCACTTGCCCTGGGTTCGATTAATGCATGCAGGTGTCATGGATGCACACTGCGACTGGTGAGTTCTGCACAAGGATGAGACAGCCATCTAGTGCCATCAGGTTTCCAATGGTCGGTCTAACAATGATTAATTTATAATCTCAGGCAACCTGAATAATCGTCGTCCCAACTTTATAATTAAAACCAGGATTATTTAATACTCGACAGGTTTCGAATTAAGCAGTAAAATGTCTTGAAAATAGGTCTAGCTGTCCATAAGTGCCTCTTTATTCTTGTCTTCATATCGATATTCTATTTTGAATGTGTTCAAAATATCGAATGTTTTATCTTAAGTTCCATTGGATTTTGAACAAAACACGACATCAATAAAAAACTGTATGATCATCGATCCTCTCAAACCCGAAGAATCTCCACTTTGATATTAACTTATCTAAGCTAGTGATGAGATCAAACCAAACTCACCTGATGATAATTTGTCGATCGGTCAGCCAGTTAAAACGTAGAACTTCGTACGTACGTACATCAGTTCAAGATGCCACACAACATTAGCACACAGATGTAATTGTCAATTAAAATCCCATAGCAGTGGAAGTAGTAAAAGTATTAGAAGTAATTGGAGAGATTAGGGTTCGAAAATTTCATTCGAAAAGTAGAATCTAGTGAAATAAACTTAAAAAGAAAAAGATAAAGGTGATATGGAATTCAGAAGCTTAAAATTTGGGAGAACACAAGAAATGGATACATCTGCCCCATTGCAAACGATTTTGAGCCATGTCATTCAAAGTCTCTAGCCTTCGATTACGAACATCTCGCGGACCCCAACCAGGTAGTCCAAACCTACCGACATGACGTATTCCACTTGTCAGTGACTTCATGGATTTGTGCCATGTTTTGATTTGGCCGCCCCTAACTTTCTTCCAACCTACTCCTACACCACAAAATATAGCTCGTCGAGGCAGTCGGTGGTTGGGCATTCGTAAAACATGTCCTAACCACCTTATCTGATGAAGTTTCAACACTTTATCTATTGATTTGCTATCCCCACCTGGCGTTAGCTCTCATGTCACTATAATGTAAGTTGAGGCTATTCGGATAGATATACGTGCTGAATGTGTTCAATCAATAAACTATTGTCTCTTTAAAAAAAGGGACTTATGGATTTAAGAAATCCGACTATTTTTCTTATACATTCTAGACTACTTAATAATAGTCAGTAGTATAAAATATCGCGTGAATTTTACTAAGGTTTAATGTTTAGATTTAGTTCAATTTTCATAAGATACATTTAGACATGATTTCGCTTCGACAGAAGAATGATTATAAATCATGAGAAAGATGACGTCTATATTTATTTCAGTCTGAAAAATCCAAACAGTCAGCTGAATCATTTCGCCTTATAAGGAAATCGTCTCAAATTTATGGAGTTCATCAGTGTCGAGTCTGAGGCAATACATATGATGAGGTCGCGCAATATCGTGGAGTGATTCAAATTAGACATTAACACCCTTTGATGCTGGCTCAGTGGTAAAAAGTTTAGGTATTTACGCTTGAAACTATTCATCTTAGGTTGATTCCCTCTTACGAGGTTGTAGATGAGCACTAACGTAGATCAGTCCCATACAAAAAACGAAAGGCCGTTCATTAATTTCAGTGAAGTATAATAAGGTTTCACTATATCATGAACCGACTAAATTTAAAAGCATGAATCATTGCATCTTGAAGATTCACGTTTTAAATTCTTAATATTTCAAACTATTTCCTGGTTTTTATTGATTTTTCAGTTTCTATTGTTTTTCATGTACGTTTTACCCCCAATGGAGGATAGTCCACCCACTAGCGTTCTCCAAACTACTCTGTCCTCGGCCTTCCTTTCCATTTCTATCCAAATGTTGTTCATTATTCTCATGTCTGTCTCCATTCCTCAGACTAATGTTGTTACGCATGCACGTAAACAGGTCATTTGATGATATGCTTGAATTATTACGAGTTCACCTTAGTTGGAAAACGAGAGCGAGGATCGGGACACACGACATGCTACTCGAATCCGATTACCCCAGCTCCCATATTGAGTAAAAGAAGAAAACTTCATATGAATTAGAACGTGTATTCTACAAACATCCAGAAATTACGATGTCCGAATCCAGAAGAGAATCCGGATCCCAGACTTGGAATCCTAGTCAGGGTCATAAAACGTTACAGATAATGCATATTCATGCAGTTCGGTCGAATAGGAACCGAAATTGAAGTCTGTAACATTAACAGTTAGGACGACCATCATATTGACCAGTAGGAATTAACCAATAGGAATTGACCAATAGAACTAGACTTCCAAAAATAATTCTCTTATGCTATTGGATGAATATCCTTGAGGGATCCAAGTGAGGGGTTGTCTTGTGACGATGTTGAGTGCTTTCCTCAATGTATGTCCTTCCATCTTCAATGCTCTTTCTTGATTTATAGAAACTGGCATGTTCTCTCCTACAGTAGCTTATTGCTGATAGTGTCTGCTGACCAACGAATCCAAAGTATTTTGCATATATAGACAACACTTAATAACCACTTGTATCTTATTGTGAATGATGGGCTTTCATGTGTTTCTCTAACTTTCCAACCCATATTTACTCAATAAATTACCTAAAACTTCTTCTTATTTATCATCTAACAACCACAGATTTCTGTGATGAATGAATTACGTACACGTGTTGAAGAATTAAAATTAGAAAATGAATATCAACTACGTTTAAAAGATATGAATTATAATGAACGTATTAAAGAATTAACCGAGAAATTCATTCAAGAAATGGAAACATTAAAAACTAAAAATCAATTGTTAAAAAATGAAAAAGAACAAAACTTGTTGAATCATCATAATCGTATTGAAGAACTCATTGAAAAACATTCACAAGAATTACAAACCCTAGAATATTTATCAAATCAAAAGCTATTAAATGAATATAATAAATATCATGATTTAGAAGAATTAAAACAAACTAAAGAAAATGAATATGAAGAGAAATTAATGAATTTAGAATTAAAAAATGAACAATTACTACGTGAAACAATTGAATCATATGAATTGAAATTAAATGATCAATTATTGAAAATTGAACAGTTGTCGAATGAATTAAAACAACAAACTAATCATTATGAAATATCGAAACGTTTAGTTGAAGAAGATGCAGATCGTGAAATATTAGAAATTAAAATTAATTATGAAAAACAATTACATCATGAACATGATGCCAATGTCCGGTTGAAAACTGAGTCGAATGTGTTGAAAAAGAAATTTACAAGTTTTCAAAATGAAATTAATGATAATAAAAATGAAATACGTAAATATTCAATTGAAACACAAAAGTTGAATACAATTATTAATAATTTAGAAAAAGATATACAAAGTTTACGTAAAGAAATACAAGAACGTGATGATACTATACAAGATAAGGTAAATGTTTGACTGACTGACTGACTGACTGATTGACTTATTTTAACATTTACCTGCATCTACCTAAACTGTATGGCCATTTCATTCAAGGTATGAGATTTCTCAACAGTGTACTTTTCTTGATCTGATATAGGACAAGAGATGTCCAGTCTTGCGTATGAACGCTCAGAGCTCAATAACACTGAGTAGGGATCCAGGGATATTAAGTCTAACTTCTATCTACAGCATTGATTGATCGTCAGGGATATCCACTCTTTCAATGCTTGTTGAATTTCGTCGTAGACATGCTGCTGGATATAATATTATCTTCGTCTGAATTTCCAGGAGTACACCTATGATGAGGCTCGCTTATTGACTTAGAATATGCCGATGACATCGTTCTATACAGTGAAGACGCTGAAAAAATGCAGAATCTTCTGACTATCCTAAGTAACAATGCAAGCGTATTCGGGATGCGGTTTCCCCATTTCGAAATGCAAAATGATGCTTTAAGGCTGGGTTGTATCGGCAGCTGAACTAGTGATAGGGAGTGAAGTAGTCGAACGTGTAGACCGCTTCAATTATCTTGGGAGTCTGATCAGTGCTGATGGCCTGGTGACTGAGGAAATCTCAGCACGGATACAGAAGGCTCGATTGTCTTTTGCCAACCTGCGTCACTTTCGGCATAGGTGAGATATCCATTTGCTGACTAAAGGACGAGTGTACTGTGCAGTAGTTCGCTCCTTCCTACTTTATGGCTGTGAAACATGGCCAGTGAGAGTAGAAGATATTCGTAGGTTACTTGTTTTCTATCATAGGTGTCTTCGAAGCATTGCTCGTGTATTCTGGGTCACCCGAGTGAGCAACGCTGTTATTAAGAAACGGGTGCTTGTTAAGAATGACAGATCAATAGATGAAGTGTTGAAACTTCATCAGTTGAGGTGTTCGGGACATGTGCTGTGTATGCCTAACTACCGACTGCCTCGACGAGCTATGTTTTGTGGTGTAGGAATAGGGTTGGCCAAACTAAAACATGGCAGAAATCCATGAAGTCACAGACAAGTGGACTGAGTCATGTCGGTAGTTGTCAACTACCTGGTTGTGGTCCGCGAGATGATAGTCACCAATGGTTAGAGACCTTGAGTGACATGGCTCAGAATCATATGCAGTGGCACAGGTGCATCCACTCTTTGCGTTCTATCAAATCTTAACCATCTGAATTCCCAATCTTCTCCATTACTGCTAATACTTCTCCTATCGTTACCACAATTGGATTTGAACCGACAGTTAGTTGCATCTCTGTGCTCATGTAGTATGGCAACCTGAACTAATGTTCATATACATACAAATTTCTGTGTTCTATCTGTCTGTCTGTCTATCAATCTGTCTGTCCCTACAGTGGCCTATGAATATCAAACTACCGCTTATTCTTCACATTGTGTAAGAAAGAGTAAAAAATTTCTTTTTTATAATCTGATCATATGATTTCTATCGAATTTTTTTATTTCAGTTCAACTTGTTTTCTACTTACTGATTTATTTTTTAAGGATAAAGGAATTTTTGAATTAAAGAAAAAAAATCAAGAATTAGAAAAATTCCGTTATGTTTTAGATTATAAAGTGAAAGATTTGAAAAAACAAATTGAACCAAAAGAAATTGACATTAGAAATTATAAAGAACAAATACAAGAAGTAGGTGTTTTTTCTTTCCTGTTTTACCCCCCATTTGAATGTACTATTTATTCTCTTGCATATTTATTTCATTGTGAAATCATGAGACGATTATATTTAGTTAGACCAAACCCCTGAAGCCAATGGATGGTTATTTAACCCCCTAGGTGTGAGGTGCACCCAGTCGCAGTGGGCATTTTTGATCCCTGCTTGAGGGGAATCGAACCCAGAACCTATGGTCTCGCATGAGAACGCTTAACCTCTAACTGTGGTGCGCGCAACTTATAAGTAGTATATGACGTGAGTAAAAAAACGTAATGTCTGGCAGTAGAAGATGGCGGAAGATCAAGAAAGCAAGAAGAGTGGGAACACACAATGGAATTTGTATGAAACGCATGAACAGTGGTGAAATGTCAGACAATGGATTGATGATGGATTAAAGATTTGCAAATTAACGATTTACGATATGATTTTCCTATTTTACTGAGTAACTCTGTAATTTTCGTTAAATACAGTTCGGTTGTCCTCACCTGTATTCTCCTTCACTACATAACCACCAAGCACATTTGGGATCAATAGTGACTAGCTTCATGAGGAAATCCTCAGAGTTCTGTTGAGACGCTGTGGCTATTGCAGTTCAACTCAGTGGAGTGTAGATAGTCAAGGATGAAGTCAGTCATCTTGGTCAGGTTACACAATACCTTGGATTGATTAAAGCTAGACAATAACGCATTTGGATGCCGGCCTAGTGGTCTAGAGAGACTGAAGTCCGTATGTTCCACTCCCGAAAGTGAGGGTTGTGGATGCGCATCGCCACTGTTGAGTCCCATGCTAGGACTAAACAGACGTGCAGTGCTTCCACGTTTCTAATGATATTCTAACAATGGCGGATTCATGACTTCAATTTGTTATTACTATTGTAGTGAAGGAGAACACGGGGGGGGGGGGCAACCGAATTATATTTAATGAAAATTACATAGTTACTCAGTAAAATAGGAAAACCATATCGTAAATCGTTAATTTGCAAAATATCAGTTCATCATATCGAACTGGACTGTTCCTGTTGCAAAACATCATCAATCCATTGTCACAATTCATGCGTTTCATACAAATTCCATTGTGTTCTAACTCTCCCTTTCTTGATCTTCCCCCATCCTCTTCTGCTGCCAGACATTACGTTGACACTCACGTCACATATTACTTATAAGTAGCTCGCACCACACTATGATATAACCAATATGGTAGTTTTTGTTTGACAATTAACTAACTAAATCAATAAAAATCTATCGATCAGATGCATGTTTCAAGGCTACTCAACGTTATCATCAATCAACTAACTGATCGAATTATCTTATCGATAACACACCTATTCGTGTGTGTGTGTTGATCTAACGATCCGACTAAGATCAGTAAGACTACAGACATGTAGCCAACGATAAATATTATCACAAAGCATCAAATATATTTTGTTTCTGCTCAATGATCAATTTTTTTAGCAGTTTTAAACAAAAATGAGCAAATCATGATTGTGTCATTGTGACAGAAAAAAGTGCATTGCTCTAGTCAGTGTGTTCTAATGCTGCTGTGTAACTTTGAAATCCTACCAACTGACCCACATACTGTTCCCGAATCTCCGATATAGATCAGAACACAACACCGTTAGATGAAATGTGACATTGATAATTAGGATGACCCATAATATTGACTTTAACACCTTTACATATCTGAGAAGTATCATCGACGAGAAAGGTGGATCCGATACAGATGTGAGGGCGTCGTGGATTGGCAAAGCAAGGGCTGCATTTCTACAATTGAAAAATATCTGGAACTCCAAACAACTTTCAACCAAAACCAAAATCAAGATTTTCAATACAAATATCAAGACACTTCTACTGTATGGAGTGGAAACATGGAGAACTACCAAAGCCGTTATCCACAAGATACAAGTGTTCATTAACAGTTGTCTACACAAAATACTTCGGATTCGTTGACCAGACACCATCAGCAACAACGTACTGTGGGAGAGAACAAACCAGATTCCAGTGGAGGAGGAAATGAGGAAGAAGCGGTGGAAGTGGGTAGGACACACACTACGAAAAGCAGCTAACTGCGTCACAAGACAAGCCCTTACATGGAACCCTCAAGGCAAAAGGCAAAGAGGAAGGCCAAAGAATTCATTACGCCGAGAAATAGAGAAAGATGTGAGAGGAATGAACAAAAATTGGACAGAACTGGAACGGGAAGCGGAGGACAGAGTTGGTTGGAGAAAACTGGTGAGCGGCCTATACTCCATTGGGGGTAACAGGCGTATGTAAGTAACTAAGTACGTAAGTAATAATGCTGACCAGCATGAGTTGACCAATAGAATTAGACATCTAAAAATAATTCTCATAGTATATTTAATCAATATCCTAACAGAAAGTCCGCGGTTATGCTGTTTTCTTTGAGCTTAATGATTTCTCTATTGCTCTTTAAAATACTGTCAGAGTTTACTTCATATACAAATGAACTGTGTTAAACTTATCTCAGTAATGCTAAATCAGTCTGTCTTGATGTCATTGCTCATAAATGTTTGTCTTCGGAGGGTTTCGGGAGCTCAAGCTGCCTTTGTATTCTCTTCTAATAGCCATCTGGTTTATGGCATATGTAGTACACATATTGATAGATAGGCGAAAACATCGAACTGACTATTGATTTCAGATTAGTTCGAATAGGTCGAGTGCTTGAACCATTTTCCCATGAAAATACAAAAGGGGATTTCTTCACAGTTTAGTTAAAAGGACTCGATTTCATATGTTATCTCGTTTAACACAGGAACTGGCAGTGCGTGAGTTCGGCTGATAAGCGAAAGAGAGACGGAGAATATGATTGAACTGAAACACAACACTACACGGATATTCACCCAATACTCTAAGAGAATTATTGTTCAAATCCTATTGATCGACTTGTATTGGTCAAATTTATGGTCGTTTTAACTGTCAAAGTCAAATACTTCACTGTTGTCTCTTATTGGTCATCCGGACTGTCAATGTCATTTCAAATGTTCTTCCTTATTAGTTATCCTGACTATCAATGTCACTACAAATGTTACTTCCTATTGGTCGTCTTAACTGTCAATACCACAGAATTCGATGCTGTTTCCTATTCGACCAAAATGTATAAATACGCATTATCTGTAACATGTTATGACCAGGACTAGGACCAGGACCCGGTCCCGAATCCCTAGTCCGGGATTCTGTTCCTCTTCTGGATTCGGACCTCGTACTTTCTGGATGCTTGTAGAATACACGTTCTACTTCTTATCAAGTCTTGTCTTCTTTTTTTAAATATGGATGGAAGTTGGGATAATCGGATTAGAGTAGCATGTCGTGTCACCGGATCCTCAATCCTCGCTCTTGTTTTCCGACTAAAGTAAACTCGTAATCAAGCATATGAAGTTGACGTGTTTACGTGCAGGCGTGACAACCGTTTATTCTTGATTTGATTAACGAAAAAAGATGCATGAATACATGAATATATATGCAGTAAGACAACAACGCACAAACTAGACATTCAGGGTAGAAAAAGATGAGTAAGGAAGATTATATTTAACTTAAAGTAGAACAGAGTATGACAGCTATTACATATATTGAACGAGAGTTAATGATTTATAGAATAAGATGACTGTTGGAGACGTTAGATCGCCTAGAACTCACTTGACAAATGTCTTAATTTTGGATTTCATTCATGGGCTAATCAGTTGATTGACCTTGGGATTACATTTCCCACCCCGAAAATCCTTGGCTGTGATTCGTTGATGTGTTATTTTAGTATGCTATTTTTATGTCTCTCTCAAGGACGTTTCTATGATGTATAAATAAACGCAATTTGTGTACTGGCTGGGTGTTTGTAGAATACATTTTCTACACCATATCAAGACTTTTTCTTCAATTAGTTAAGGCAGCAGATCAGAGTAGCCTACAGTGTCACTGGGTCATTGTCTCGTTCTCTCGTTTATCGACTAAGATGAACTCGTAATAGTTTCAAGCATATCAATTTGACAAGCATAAAAAAACAGCAGCATTGTTCTGAAACTAAACTATTCAGTGTTTATCACTACTATCTTTCGATTTCACCCACTCTTCATCGTAGAATTTCGCTCATCTGCTGGATATTTGACTGTTTGTTTTTTTTACTCACATTTCACAGATGGAAGCTGAATTACAACGTTTTCAAAAACAAAATGATCAACTTGAAATTAATATCACGGAATTAAAACAAAAATATAAATCAGTCGAAAATGAATTGAAACTTGAACGTCAATCGACAAGAGATGTTGAATCGATAGTTCGTCGATTAAAAACCGATTTATTCAATGTTGTCGGAATGATTCAAGAACCGAAACAATTAAAAGCCGGTATATTAGCGTTATATAAAAAACATATTCATGAAGATATGGTTAGTTAGTTTGTTAGTTTGTTGTAAATTTTGGTTTTTTATCTGTGCATCAAAGTCACCAGTTAGTTGCCTCTTATTCTAATGTCTGACTGATTGAATGTCTTTCTTTCGTTTACAAGCTTAAAATGTAACTGAATTTGAAGTATCTGGCATCTGCTGTTTGATTTCAAGTTTTGATGTTTATAAATTATTCAAGATATCAATTTGTATCAGCGAACGGATCGTATGAACAGTGACATAATAACAGGATAAGCTAAGCTAATGGTGAAGAAAACTTGTAGCTCAGGTGGATGATTGTGGTGGTGTTTCGTTCTCTGAGCTGGTGTTGTTTTGGTTGTGGAGCTTTCATTGTTCTTCTACTGAACAACATCATCAGAAAAAACTTCAGATAGCAGAAGTGAAGCATTCGAACAACGACAGGTCAAAAGTCAATAGCAACCAATCAAGATCGAGGTTAGCAGAACAAGCTACAGGTCATGCACGTGGAGAAATTCGAATGCTTCACTTCTTCTATCTGAAGTTTGTGCTGATGATGTTGTTCAGTAGAAGAACAATGAAAGCTCCACAACCAAAACAACCAGCTCAGAGAACGAAACACCACCACAAAGCTAGGCTAATTCACTACATGCATATCAGCCCTGTTGACCTGGAGGAAGAAGTCGAGAGTCAACAAGGAGAATGCAAAATCCATAAGCAGTCTGAAACGAACTAATGGATGAGAGAAAATGAACCAATCATATTTAGGCTCCTTCTAGAAAGGGAAACATAAACTGATGGTAATGGCGGGTGCGTTTGGCGCCAAAACGAGAAATTCAAATTTCCATCTGTCGAAGTTTAAACAAAGCGATTTTATGGGGATCTAGGTATTCTTAACAAGTTTATTTCAATTTATCTGATCAAGGCACTTACCTATGGAATATCATTTGTTTTGGTCTAACGAATCTGAAAAACAACCTCGTACACATTTTATGTTACAAAATTTTGATTAAATCGACCGTGATCTCTTTTAAAATACTTGTTTATTCAAAATATGCTTGAAATTTCTTTGATTTGATGATTACTTTAGTTGTCACAATGTTGCATACACAAAGGGTTGGTTGTATCGAGTGATTGCTTTTTTCAACCAACACAGGACATCAGTGATCGTCTTTGTGTTGTACTATACTTCCATTTAACGTGAATATCACTAAAAAAGAGCTATTTCACTTCAATTTCTTATGATTATAAATAAGTTCTGATCAATTCGTAAATTTCTTGAATGTCCTCTGAAAGACAGTGGATGAGGTCGTGCAAAACCATGGACTTGTTGAAGTTAGACAATAGCACCCTTTGGATGCTAGCTCAATGGTTAACAGATTAAGCGTTAGCGCACGATCTTGAAGGTTGTGTGGGTCTGATTCTCGCGAGTTATGGGAGTCGTGGATGGATTTACAGGAAGTTCAATCGCTGAGACATTTGCAAATATAATTTCCCTCTCCAATGTGATCTAATATTTCGTCGTATCTGTATAATTTATCAAAAGATCGATTTCCAGTCGATTCCTTTCTAGTGTACATCCACAACACTACAGTTGTCCCGAAACCAGTGCCTTTCAGTCTCATTGCCAATTACGATCTGTGTTGGTAGTATATATATATATATATATCTTATGTGGATAAAAGGAGATTTAGAATAAACAACCTACTATTCATTTCAGCATTCTATTTATTGAGTTTACAGGAGCTTCTACTAATTTATCAAAAGACAATCGCTAAATTAACAGTCTCGGTAATCAGTCGTTGTGTTGTAGTCCTACAGGAATCGTACATTTTCATTACAATACAGATATTGATTGACTCGGTGATGTGTCTTGTAACTTGTATGAAACCTTATGGGAACTAAAGTTTTGATATTACCTTCAAACAGCGTAAATCATTATATCAAATCACTTAAACTGGAGCCCCTTACATCACAATCTAATTGATACACTGTGGTCAACAATGTAAACTAATCATCCAGCAATCTAGGCATTAGATATATTGAGAAGACTGAGGCAGGCGAGGAAGATTGTATTACGCAAATTAACACTCTTAGTCAATTTAAAAACGAAAACATTACATTGAACACTCAGTCTATTTGCACATCATCTTTGAGTCGTCGTGACTTCCAACACTCCATCCTTCTTCAATTACTGTTTTTGCTTCGTTTCCTTCCTGTTGGTACTACTCCATTTACTTCTTGCTTTTGCTCCATTTGCTTTCCGTTTTCCTCTTCTGACCGTGCAAATTCTTCTTCTTTCACGTCCCTTCTTATACTACTACTTATATCGTTCGTATAAGTAGTACACAACACAGTACTAGTTAAATAGTTTCACATATCACAGATATGTCAAATGTTTTATTTCACAATATTATCAATCAAGTTCACTGGCTACTTTGTCATGTTTTATGTGTTCTTGTACCTTTTAAAAATTGTCATACATTTTCTGAAATAAAAATAACCCCTAGATAACTCTTTTTTTAAAAAAAAATAATCTAGAGTTCTCACCAATCATCCGTAAGTGATTATTGTTGATTAAAATAGAGTTATGTTTTGTGTTGGTTAGTTCTGTTGTTGTTGTCATCATTGTTGGTGTTGTTCACGTTGTTGTTACGACTGTAAGATGGTGTTGAGCATGTACGTAATAAACATGTCAGTTTGATATGCTTGAATTATTACGAGTTCAGCTTAGTCGGGAAACGAGAGGCGAGGATCAAGGATCCGGCGAAACGACAGGCTAATCTAATCCGAGTGTCCCAAACCTCCCCATATTGAGTAGAAGGAGAAGACTTGATCTGAAGTAGAACGTCTATTCTACAAGCATCCAGAAAGTACGAGGTTCGAGTCCAGAAGACAAACAGGATCCCGGACTAGGGATCCGGGTCCGAGTCCGGGTCGTAAAACGTTACAGACAATGTGTATTTATACAGTTAGGTCGAACAGGAAACAGCATCGAAATCTGTGATATTGATAGTTAGGACGACCAATGAGAATCGATCAATAGAATCGGACTTCCAAATATGATGCTCTTAGGATATTTGATCAATATCCTAACAGATGGCTTGTGGAAAGAAAGTCGAACAAGTAGGGAAAGTGTTGGGAATTTAAAAAAAAACAATTTTTTGTGACCTTTCGGTAGCATTCATGCGTCTGTTCACGTAATTTTCGTTATACAGTTATATATCGCATGACATCATAGATCTGAACCAACATAGTGTTGTTGGTTCATGCAATCAAAATCTGTTCAACTTAAACATTCTTTTTGGTAGATGAATGTTGCTGAGATTATATTGAATTTAAACGCATAATTATCGGTAGAATAAGGCACTTAAATATGTATGTGCCACTCTAACTATTGAATCAGTGTGGGCTAGGATACTATCCCAGGTGCTCGAGTCGAAACAGAGAGTTCTATTAGTCCATTGCATCCCTGAACATTCGAACAACAAGTATAATACGAAAGACAATGGAGCAACCTTGGAAGATACACTCTTGTGGTGGTCGGTGACCAAGAATATGTTTATACGCCATTTATCCTATCAGGATCCTGAAAGCTATGTACATTGGCTACTTGAACGATGATGGGAAGACGGGAAGAAAAAGCTTATTTGGCTACTGATTCATTTATTCATATACTCATCGATACATATCCCGCCTTAAAATCGGAAGCCATTTCTTGACCAATGATATGTATTCGTCCTATGGCCTTCTCATTTGGTCATTTCTGATTGGTTCACTTTATCAATACAGTTTTCTCTTCTACATCTTATTTCTTTGATAAATTTTCAATACAAACGTCAACACAGTTCTACGGTATATGGTGAAAACTTCAAGAACCACGAAAGCCACCTACCGGAAGATGCAGATGTTTATTAAGAGATTTCTATGCAGAACACTCCTCATCCGTTGGCCAGACAGCATTAGCAACAACCTCTTTTCGGAGATAACAAACCAGATTAGAGCTGAAAAGGAAATTTGGAAAAGTCGCTGTGAGTGGATAGGATACATATTTAGGAAACCATCAAAACACAAGCCCTCACTTGGAATCCTCAAGGCCAAAAGAAAGGAAATAGACCAAAGAACACATTACGCCGGTCACTGGAATCATACATGTGAAGAATGAACAGCAATTAGGCAGAAATGGAAAGGAAGGCTCAGGAGAGAATAGGTTCAGTCACTCATTTAAAGCGTAGAACTTCGTACGTATGCACATCAGGTAAAGCCACATACCATATAAGCACAGTGATGGAATCGTCAGTTCGAATCCCATAGTAGTAGAGGCAGCAGAAGTATTAGCAGCAATCAAAAAGATTATTGACCGGATTTATCATTCCAGATGTATACCCTAGAAGAGAAAAAAAGATCGTGAGGAATTCAGAAGATTAGAATTTGACAGAGCATAAAGAACGGATGCCCTTGCACCATTGCAAACGGTTTTGAGTCATGTCATTCAAGATCTCTAACCGTCAATTACAATCATCTCGCGTACTCTGACCAGGTAGTCTTTACTTACTAACATGGTTCAGTTCAGTCGTTAGTGACTTCATGGATTGGTGCCATGATTCGGTTTGGCCGCCTCTAGCCTCCTTCCTGCCTAACTTTACATCAGATAAAATCACTCGTCGAGGCAGTCGGTGGTTGGGCCTACGTAACACATATCCCAACCACCTCAACTGATGAAGTTTTAATACTTCATCTTTTGACCTGCCATCCTTACCTAATACCCGTTTCCTTACAACAGTATTGCTTACTCGGTTGTCCCATGGTACACGAGCAATGCTTCGGAGGCACCGATGATCGAAGACAAGCAACGTACGAATTATCCTCTACTCTTACTAGCTGTGTTTCGCAGCTATAAAGTAGGATGGAGTGGGCTGCTGGGCAGCAGACTCGTCCTTTGGTTAACAGACGAATATCTCGTCTACGCCATAAGTGATACAAGTTGGCGAAAGCCAATCGAGTCTTCAGAACAGAACAGGTTGGAGAATGTTGGTCGGTGGCCTATGCTCCGGTAGGGATAACAGGTGTAAGTCAGTCAGTCAAGTAAACAAGGGGAAAAACCAACATACTCAGCATAAAGGTGATTAGAATTGTTTATCATTTCATATGAAGTCATACAAAAGAGGATGAGGGGAGTAAGTGAACTTGTCAGCGCTCAAAAGTCACCTCTTCAACATTAACATCTTGACTGAACGTAAATGGCATTTTTTTTAAAAAATTTTCAGTAATAAATCATCATAAAAAAACAGAGTAGTTTGGCGTTTGCGCACAATGCCGAAGGTCCTGGGTTTGAATCCTGCGGGATGCAGGAGTCGTGGATGCGCACTGCCATTGATAAGTCCCATACCAGGACAAAACGGCCGTCCAGTGCTTTCAGGTTTCTAATCGTGATAGTCTAACATTGATCGATTCATGGTTTAAAAAATGTGTAATTTAACAATCTTCACAACCCCGTAATGCAAATTCGACAAACGTCCGAAAACAGTCAAGTCGAGATATCTTCATAACAATGATGTCTGTAAAAACAGAATAATAAAAGTGATGTACACTGTCTGTTGTTTAAAGTATTCTACGTTGTATTCACAATCCATTAAATAATGTTTAGTAAGTGCCCTTTCGAATACTTTACTTCTGTTAGGATAATCATCAAATATCCTAAGAGAATTATTTTTGTGAGTCTAATTCTCTAATTCCATTGGTCAACTCCTATTGGTTGATTCCTATTGGTTGTCCGAGCTATCCATGTCATATACTTCAAATGTTAATTCCTATTGCTCGACCTGTCTGTATAAATATGGATTGTCTGTAACGTTTTATGATCCGGATCCTTAGACTGGGATCCTGATTCTCTTCTGGACTACGAACCGCGTAATTTCTGTGTGGTTGTAGAATACACATTCTCTACTTCATATCAAGTCTTCTCTATTTTACTCAATGGGGCTTTTGGACAATCGGATTAGAGTAGCCTGTCGTGTCGCCGGTTCGTCGATCCTTGCTCTCATTTCCCGACTAAGTTGAACTCGTAATAGTTCAAGCATATCAATCGACATGGTGAAGCTGTTGTTCGTAACAACTTCATTTCAAGTCATATCTATTGAAAAAACAAAGCAAATGTCCTTCTAGCTTACTGTCTTACTTATGTAATTGTTTCAACAAGCACCAATCTCAATTCAGACAATGTATTTGATTAATTTAAAGAACACATCTGATGTTTTACAATGAAACTAGTTAGACAATATGAAGGCTCCCTTTCTTTTACTGTTCAATTTTCAATTCTGTGTTACTATTTCATTTTCCACAAAAAAGTGTTTTGAAACAGATACATGTAAATTTGAAATTTTTGATTTCTACCCCAAATGATTTATAACATGATTATTCTAAATTTCACAATGATGACATTTACCTAACTAATTTTGTTAGTGTGATCAAAATGTGTCCATTATTGACTAGTTTCAACATGGACCAATGAATGATTGCGTAATCAGTAAGGTGTAGTGAGTGAGTGAGAGAGTGAACAATTGTTTTTGCTGGTTATTTAAAACTTCCTTTAACACAATACACACATCCATGATTTCTCATGAGATGGAAATTTACCTTTATACTGTCACATGTTGATAATCAAATTATATTTATAAAGTTTTGAGATTTGAATGTGGGTTCTGGCAATTTTTTGATTGAATCGTCATACATTCGTATTCGTGAGGACGTTCGTCTTACTATTGACAAACAGGTACCAATAGACTGGAAAGACGAATACCTGGTCAAAATACCAAAGGAAGGCGATCTCGATAAGTATGAGAACTACAGAGGCATCAATCTTCGCTCAGTACCAGGAAAATTCTTCAAAAGTGTGTTGTTAAACTGAATGGAGGACTCCGGAGATGCCTGACTTCGAGATCGATAGTTTGGATTTTGTAAGAATCGATCGTGTACTGACCAAATTGCAACAATACGGATCATTGTGGTACAATCAGTTGAATAGAACTCATAACTCTACATCATCATTGACTACGAGGAAGCATTCGATATCGTGGACAGGAAAACACTATGGAGGCTTATTTGACAGTACGGCCTGCCTGAGAAGAGATAGCCAACATCATACAGAATTCTTACGATGGATTAAACTGCATAATCGTGCACGGAGGACAGCCAACAGAATCGATCGAGTTGAAGACCGGTGTAAGGCGAGGTTGCTTACTTTCACCCTTTCTCTTTCTCCTGGTGATCGACTGGATTGTGAAGACGTAAAAATCTGAAGGGAAGCATGGGGTACACTGGACAAGCAGGATGCAGCTGGACGACCTGGACTTCGCAGATGATCTGGCCCTTTTATCGCACACGCTACAACAGATGCAAGAGAAGACTACCAGTGTAGCAGCAGGTCTCAACATACATAAAGGGAAAATTCAAGATTTTCTGATATAATACAACATGCTATAACCGAATCACGCTTGATGGAGATGCCTTGTAGGATATAAAAAGCTGTCTATACATACAAGGTGGATCTGATGCAGATGTGAAGGCGCAGATAGGCGAAGTAAGGGCTGCATTTTTACAGTTGAACAACTTCTGGAACTCAAAACAACTATTGACAAACACCGAAGTCATAATTTTCAATGCAAATGTTAAGACAGTTCTAGTGTACGGGGCGGAAACTTGAATTAGTACAAGGCCATCATCCACAAGAAGCAAGTGTTCATTAACAGTTGTCTACACAAAATATTTCGGATTTATTGGCCAGACACCATCAGCAACAACCTACTATGTGAGAGAACAAACCAGATTCCAGTGGAGGAGGAAATCAGGAAGAAGCGGTGGAAGTGAATAGGAAACACATTGCTGAAAGCACCCAACTGCGTCACAAGATAAACCCTCACTTCGAAACTTCAAGGTAAGAGGAAAAGAAGAAACACATTACGCCAAGAAATGAAGACAGAGATGAGAAGAATAAAAAAAATTGAACAGAACCGGAGAGAAAGGCCGAGGACTGAGTAACTTGAAGAATTTTGGTCGGTGGCCTGTGCTCCATTGGGGGTAACAGGTGTAAGTAAGCATAAGTAAGAATATGGCTACCCGTGTAATCCAGAATGCGCGTTTAATCCTATTTCTAACTCATTAGCTGAATGTACCCATATATGTCCCAGCCATGACTGATCAGTGGATAACTAGTTGGCGTTTGAAGCGAAAGATACTGGCCACTAGTTCTGGAGTGAACATCAACTCCAAGATGCAAACACATCCAGCTAACCAACCTAAAATAAGATGGAGCACGTATCCTAGATTCTACTTATAGTCACATTCCATTTTTTCAAGAAGAAATATGTATGGAAATCGGTATATAAAGGGTAATGTCAACAGGATTTGACAAATTATAGTTTCAATATGTGCATATCTATGGCATAGTTGTAATGACTTTCAGTATTTTTTCTACTTTTCAATCTATCCATTAGACAGTAGACGCTACAGCCGATGCTGATATTCAAAAAGAATTTTGCCGACAACGTGAACATCTTGAACGATCAATTATTGGATTAAGACATAAGTTGGCACGTGACACGGAAGTGCATCGAACAGATTATGTTCGTATTATGCAAGTAAGCAGTTATCAGTGATTGATTGATTGATTGTAAGGTATTTGATTGAATTTTCCATTGAAATCATGAATCGACCAAAGTTTTAGACCATCATTAGAGAATTGGAGGTACTAGACAGCTAGTTCGTTATAGTATGAGACCCAACAATCGCGCGAATCCACGACCACTGCTCTCAGAACTAAAATCTAGGACCTTCTACCTTTTTGCGCAAAAGTCTAACCTCTAGATCACTGAGCTGGCAGCATCCAACGTGTTATGCTTGCTCCAAGTTGATATGCTTGAACTACTACCAGTTCTTCTTAGTCGATGACACGAAAGTCTACTCCAATCCGAGCATCCCAAGGCCCTACTAAGTAGAGGAAGAAGTCTTGACAAGACGTAGAAAGTGTATTCTACAAACATCCACAAAATATGAGGTTGACAAATACACAAAGCGAGTTTATTTATACAATAATAGAAATGTCCTTGGGAGAGATATAAAAATAGCGTACTAAAATGACAAATCAACCAATAACAGTCAAGAATTTTCCGAGTGGGCAATGTAATCTCAAGGTCAACTGATCAGCCCATGCTTAAAAACATAAAATCTAAAACTAAGACCTTTATCAGGTGAGTTTTCGGGATCTAACGTACCCAACGCAACAGTGTTACTGTCTAACATTGATCAATCTAAGATTTTCGCACAACTATAATCGAAAAATGACTGATTCATGATTACAATTAGAAGACGACAATCTTTATATATAAGTAAACGTGTTTTAACTGACTGACAAGAGTTTCGAATTTTCAGTTCGTCATCATTTCTCAGACGGTAGTAAATATATCTCTTAATAATTAATTATGAACTCGATCAAGAATCTATCTCTGTCTATTCTCTTTAAACAGAAGATTGTGGTGGACCAATGAGGAGAGTTGTCTTTTGATCAGTGTTCTTTTTTCGGTCACGTAATGTTATTGGGGTTAACGAGACAACAAGAACGATATATACCTAATGAAATTGTTACGCATGAACGTAAACATGTCTATTTGATGTGCTTGTTCTATTACGAGTTCACCTTAGTCTGTAAACGAGAGCAAGGGTCGAGAATCCGGCGACACCATAGGTTATTCTAATCTGAGTGTCCTAAACCACCATTGAGTAAAATAAAGAAGACTTGATATGAAGTAGAACGTGTATTCTACAAGCATTCAGAAAGTACGAGGTTCGAGTCCAGAAGAGGATCAGGATCACGGACTAGGGATCCGAATCCGGGTCTTTAAACGTTACAGATAATGCGTATTTTAGGTCGAATGGGAAACAGCATCGAAGTCTGCGCCATTAACAGTTAAGGCAACACATAGGAAACAACATTTGAAGTGACATCGACAGTCAGGACGACCATAAAATTGACCAGTAGGAATCAACCGATAGGAATTGACTAAAAATTCCTTTAGGATATTGGATGAATATCCTAACAGAAATGGAAATCAATTGGAGATACACCTCGTGTCAAGCTCCTCCTCGGTATAAAGCATATCCAAATACAAAGTTGGCTGACACGATTTTGAAACCAACAACGTATATTTTTCTATTCATGAGCTCCAACCATTTTGAAATATGGAATTCAACATTTCTTGTCAACTACACCTTCAGAAGATTGCAAATAATATATATCTTTTAGTAAATAATGTTAGGATATTCACTAATCACCCTACGAAGAATCATTTTGTAAGAGTAAATTCTGTTGGTCGATTCCTATTGGTCAATATTATGGTCGTCCTAGCTATCAATGTCACGTACTTCAATGTTGTTCCCTATTGGCCATCCTGACTATTAATGTCACTTCAAATGTTGTTTCCTATTGGTCGTTTTAACTTTCAATGTCACAGACTTCAATGTTGTTTCCTATTGAACCGAACTGTTTAAAAACGCATTATCTTTAACGCTAAATGACCCGGACTTGGACCCGGATCCTTAGTACAGGATCCTGATTCTCTTCTGGAATCGAACCCCGTCCTTTTTAGATGCTTGTAGAATACATGTTCTACTTCATATCAAGTTTTCTTCTTTTTATGCAATTGGTGGAGGTTCGGGATAATCGGATTAGAGTAGCCAGTCCTGTTGCCGGATCCTCGATCCTCGCCTCGCGTCTACTGACTATCGTACATTCGTACTAATCCAAGCATATCAAAAATGACATGTTTACGCGCATGCGTAACAAATAAATTACGAACTAGACCAAGAATTCTTCTCAAAGTAAGCATTCTTAATAGTTTTCTCCTTCATTTTTTTTTCTGTTCTCAACAAAGGAAAATGTCACACTAATTCAAGAAATTGATAATCTACGCGCTGAACTCAAATTATCCCGTAGTCATATACATGATTTAGAAGCTGTCCTCGGTTTAAATCGTAAAGATGGCGAGAAAGCTCGTCAACTATTACTACAATTAAACAAATCCCGACCGAATCCAATCCTTGAATCAGATTATGAACAAATGAAACGTTCATTAATTGCACAACAATTATTTATTAATAATTTACAAATGAAATTAAATCAATCTCTTCAAGGTTTCAATAATAGTAATAATAATAACAATATCAACGACAATAATACTACTGATATTAATAATAATAGTAGTATTATAAATCCACCGAATGATTTATTGAAAGATTTTCAATCGGCAATTTATTCATCATCATCACCACAACAACCACAACAAATTAAAGTATCATCATCAGCAGCAGTGTCGATACCGGCGCCATTGTCCTCACAATCAACATCATCCTCGTCATCCTCGTCGTCATCATTATCAGCGAAAGTGATTACTACTACTGCTGCTGCTACTGTTACTAGTTCGGCAACAGAAGTTGCACAAATCACACCCAACTCCAGTTCAAATAATTTACCGCCAATTAGTAATGAAACAACCGATGAGAAATCATTTACATCATCAATGTAATAGTGATAGATGATGATGATGATGTAGGTAGGTAGGTAGGTAGTTTCTGTTTTCTGTTATCATTTTTCTCTCGGACACCACCAATTCACTCGAGACATTCTCCCCCGGAATCGCGACACGGTTGAATAGGAATGGAGATTAGAAGGAAGATGGAGAAGTTCAAACTACATTGGTATATTTATAGTTTTCTTCAATGAGAAGATTCATAGAATGCTCCTTTCCACTATCGGCTAGCTGTGATTAGATACGAAAGAGCCAATCAGCGTGCAACAATACAGTCATGCTTTAATCCACTCTGTGTTTCACTAACGGTTTGGTTTACATCAACAGCAACAGCAGTTCAAGTTGTCATACCACATTAGCACACAGAGAGGAATGGAATTGTCAATTCAAATCCAATAGTAGTAATACAGGTAGTAAAAGTATTAGAAGTAATCAGAGAGATTAGGATTCGAAGATATTATTCAAGGAGTATAATTCAGTGCGATAAATTTAGAAAGAGAAAGATGGAGGTGATGAATAATTCGGAAAGTTAGAATTTCATAGAATACAAAGAGTAAATGCACCTGCACCATTGCAAACAGTTTTGAGACATGTCATTCTGGGTCTCTAACCATCGATTATAATCATCTCGCGGACCCCAACCGTGTAGTAGACAACTACCGACATGGCTCAGTACACTTGTCAGTGACTTTATGGATTTGTGCCATGTTTTGGTCTGGCCACCCCTAGCTTTCTTCTAACCTATTCCTATATCGCAAAATATAGCTCGACAAGGCAATCAGTAGTTAGGCATACTTAAAACATGTCCAAACCACCTCAACTGATGAAGTTTCATTACTTCATCTATTGATCTACCATTCTTACCTAGCATCCGTTTCCTAACAACAGCATCGCTTACCCGGCTGTCCCACGATAATCGAGCAATGCTTCGAAGACGCCTATGGTCGAAAACCAGTAACCTACGAATATCTTCTACTCTGAAGTGAGAGAGAGTTATGGATATTTTTGTTGTTTTATAGTGAACTCGTGAATCAGTCATTGTTAGAACACAGTCATTAGATACTTGTAAGCACCCACTGTACCTTCCCCGTTTCGTCTTAGCATGGGACTCTTTAGTAGCAGTGCAAATCCATGACCCAAGCTCGCGACCTAGGGTCATCGATCTCGTAAGTGAACGGCTAACCTCTAAACCATTGAACCTGTAGCATCCAACGATTTTAATTTTGATAATTCGACTTGATTGTTTAAACAATCTGCTGATGTTTCTAATATGGGATTTATACAAACCAAATTAGATTGTGTGGTCCACACTGAAAACCTATAAAAAATAGATTTTTTGTAATAAAGTGGGTTTAGTGATGATTCTATTGTTTTTGAAGGTTGAAGCCATGAACTGATGATCTTAGTTATTAGACCACCATCAAAAACCTATCAGTACTGGATGGCCGTTTCGCCCCACATAGGGACTTATCAACTATTTGTGTCTTCGAATCCTACACACAGTAATCAAAACCAGTACCTCCGGTTTCATCCACGAACAAGTCTAACTGCAATCAGTCCATGATGATCAGCAATATTAACGCTGTTGAATGGGAACTTAATAGTCTTTAAGTTAGTTCTTCATACTATAAACTGAAAGTCCTGTATTCAAGGGTCGTGGATGCTCACTGTCATTGAACAGTCCCATATTCCATGGATAGAAATGACCACATGATCACTAATACAGATAGGAATAATATGCGGCTAATAGTCAGAATTAACTCCTAGACTTGTAAAAGACCTCTGAAATACACTCCTAAACGGTTTATTTATTTACTTTTCATACAGGTCCATGTTGGCATATTTTTTGAAAAGAATCTCAAACAGAAAAAAACAATCATACTACATTTTTCAGAAAAATGATTTTATTCTAAAATATCATTCAGTAAAAAATATTTATCTAACTACTTTACATGAATTTTTCAAATAGAAAATATACTAAATAAATTTAGTAAATAACTACTTATATTATTATTATTACTATTATTATTACTACTGTGAATTATGTGATTACCGAAATAAATAAAAGACTCAAGAACAAATTCTTCTGATGTGTGAGTTTAAGGTTCCGAGCGCGATACATGCTAACCAACCTTCAGCCAAAATAACTTCTTGAGCAAGAAGACGAGATTAGGAGGAAAAGATAACTTAGCTATTGTTACGCCTGCACGTAAACACGTCAACCTGATATACTTGAACTATTACGAGTTTACCCTTTAGTCGGAAACGCGAGAGCGAGGATCCGGTGACATTGATATCTAGGACGACCATAAAATTGACCAGTAGGAATTAACCAATAGGAATTGACCAATAATTCTCTTAGGATATTGGATGAATATCCTAACAGCTATGCTTCTGTATATTACATTTACATCTCATAAAAATGAAGCCTTTTCTTGACCAATCATATGTATTCGGAAACGCGAGAGCGAGGATCCGGTGACACGACATGCTACTCTAATCCGATTATCCCAACCCCCATATAGCGTGAAAATAAGAAGACATGATATGAAGTAGAACCTGTATTCTACAAGCCATCCAGAATGTGCGAGGTCCGAATCCAGAAGAGAATCAGGATCGCGGACTAGGGATCCGGGACCGGGTCCTGATCGTGGTCATAAAATATTGCAGATAATGCGTATTTATACATTTTGGTCGAGTGAGAAACAGCATCGAATTCTGTGACATTGACAGTTAAGACGACCAATAAGAAGTAACATTTGAAGTGACATTGATAGTCAGGACAACCAATAAGAAACAACATTGGAGTACGTGCCATTGATATCTAGGACGACCATAAAATTGACCAGTAGGAATTAACCAATAGGAATTGACCAATAATTCTCTTAGGATATTGGATGAATATCCTAACAGCTATGCTTCTGTATATTACATTAACATCTCATAAAAATGAAGCCTTTTCTTGACCAATCATATATATTCGGAAACGCGAGAGCGAGGATCCGGTGGCACGACATGCTACTCTAATCCGATTCGTCCTTTAAAACATTTTTCTAATGGTCATCAAATGACCTTCACATTTGGTTGCTTCTGATTGGCTCACTTTATATAATCGAAGGCAGAACAGTATTGGATATTATTATCCAATCAGCTCCTCACAGAACTTGATTTTCAGATTTTTGAGCGAAATTCAAATATTATCTACTCAAAGCATTTAAAATGACTAGGAAAAATTATTTTTTTTATCAGCTTAGAGTAAATATTGATGAAATTTAAACAAATTTAATGAACACTGTCTTTTAATCCAAACTATAATCACTGAACTTGACTTTGTTAAAAACCAATCAGTTAGCATCTTTTGGATTTTTGCGCAAAAGTTTTCCAGTGATTGATATAAGGCCATGAAGCATTTTTAAATTAGAGTTAATGTCAACTAATGAGAAAAACTAATCTAAACCGAGATTAGGAAAACCTAATTAGGAACAATATATTTAATTATGTCTCTTAGCGTTCAAAGAGAATAGGCCGCTGACCACGATTCTACTACAAGCGACAGTAAATTACTAATCTATGCAGACGTTAGATTCCCAGTGCTCACTTAGAAAAGGTCTTGATTTTATAATTTATTTTCGAAATTTTGAATTTCTATGTTTTCATGCCAGAGACTCTAAGTTGACCTTCAGTTTATATATCCCACTCGAAAAATGCTTAACTGTCATTGGTTGACGGATTTTTTTTTCTAGTATGCTATTTCTTGGCTCTCCTAAGGGCATTTCTATCATTGTATATTTAAGTTTGATTTAGATGCTTAGTAACCACAATCTTTCTCGGTGCCTGTAGAATACATTTCCTACGTCTTATCAAGACTTCCTGATTTAATTAGCGGAGTCAGGCAAAATTGGATTAGAATAGCCTATCGTGTCATTGTATCATTTATGTCTGCCCCGTTTATCGAGTAAGGTGAAATTGGGATAGATTTAAGGACATCCATTGACGAGTATATCAGAAAATAATTATATGAGTTCGTTTAGAATCCGAAAATTATAGGATAACATAAATATTTGAAAAATGAAGCTGAAAAAAAGAACAATTAACAAGATATTTGATTACCAGAGTCGAATACGAAACGCAAAGACATAATTATTTCAGGCGAATTTGTTAATTGGGATGACATGATTTGAAAATGAATTATGCTGAACAAGGAAAACAGAACAGTATAACATATCATTCAATTTTTAACTGTTAATTTCGTAAATTTATGTAAAAAAACAGAGTGAATGTAAAATTGAGACACCGCATAACGAAGACATTTCAAAACTAAACAGACATTCCCACACGTAGAAAGGAAAAAAAAAGGCGGCCGAAAACTGGAGGAAATAAAAGTAAGGTTCATCGCAAACAAAAGGCATCAAAAGGGTGGAAGACAAACAGGATAATTGACAAGAATGAAAAATGTTCCAGCGATCAAATCACCGCCAGCCACGATTCAACCAGTGAGATGAATTATGATGCA